CGGAATCAGCCCTAAAGGCATTTGGATCTGGCTGAAAAGCCCATGAGAGTATTTCAGGCATGGAAAGCCAAGACACTCTGGCACCTAGCTCTGTTAACATAGGATAAAAAACACCATCTAAATGCAACGATCTCTGTGAGTGAGATCCCTGTGGAAAGAACAGGTCTTCAAAGAAAGGAGGTACCCTTTCTCTGAAGGGAGGAGAGAACCTCCACTTTGACTATGACCTTGTCTAAACAAGATAAGAGTCGGAGAACTCAAAAGGCTTCCATAGCCTTGGAAACCCATGACTGGTGCATAGGGAGATTACTGATGCCATAAACAGGAGTGTCAATTTGTAAAGTCAACAACAGGAGTCACTGTGCACTTACTCCTCATGTAGGATCTCTGTCCTTAATGTGCTGTACACTGAGATTTAATGCTATAATGAGTACTCAAACAGTATATTTCGCTTTGTGTTTCTATGGGGGTACAAACTGTTGAAATCTTTACTTGATGTATACTAAACTGATCTTCTGTAAAAAAAAAAAAAAAAAAAAAGAAGAAAAAGAAGAAGAAGAAGAAATTATCAATCCCTAACTTGACTCTCACTGGGATTAAACATGACAATAGGTCTGATCTGATTTCATCATCATTTTAAAAATCATCTATTATTTTTCACTTTATGTTTGTGTGGGAGCAAACTGTTGAAATCTTTACTTAATGTATGCCAAACTGCTCTTCTGTGTATAAAGAGAATCGAAAATGAATCTTGATGTGAATGGAAGGGGAGAGGGAGTGGGAAAGCGGAGGGATGCGGGTGGGAGAGACGATATGGGGGGGAAGCCATTGTAATCCATAAGCCGTACTTTGGAAATTTATATTCATTAAATAAAAGTTAAAAAAATTTTAAAAAAATAAAAAAATCTAAAAAAAAAAAAGAGAGAGAGAGAGAGTGTTCAATCATAGGAATCAGTCCACACAGCAGACTCATAAAATGACAATCGCTTTAAGTAACACTCTGACCTCAGAATAAGCCCTTAAGCCTTCCTGGTCGGGCTAAAAAGCCCATTGAGAGCATTTCAGGCATGAAAAGCCAAGATACTGTGACAAAAAATGTTCAACATGAAGGATCTGTGTGCGCCAGACCCCAGAAGAAAGAAGTGGCCATCAAAGAATGATGTACTTTTCTCTAAAGGGAGGAGAGATTCCACTTTGCTATGGCCCTGTTCAAATATTGAGTTTATGGACTCAAAAGGCTTTCATAGCTTAGGCAGCTCATATCAAGAGCCTTGGGTGGTCACTGACATCATACATAAGAATCTTAATTGTTAAATTAACAACAGGAGCCACCACGCACTAACTCCCCATGTAGGACCTCTGTCTTCAATTAATTATATCATTAGAGTTAACTGTAAAACTAGTTCTCAGTTGTGTGTGTGTGTGTGTGTGCGTAAATTGTTGAAATCTTTACTTAGAGTTGGTCTTCTATGTACAAAGTTAATTGAAAATGAATATTAATAGAGAATGGGACTGGCAAGGGGAGGAGAGATGGGAGTGTGGCTGGGACGGCAGGTATGGTGGGAAAAATCACTATATTCCTAAAGTTGTACTTATGAAATTTGTACCCATTAAATAAAAGATTTTGGTGGGGGGGGGGGAGGGAAAGGCTTCAATAGCCTTGGCAGCTCATGTCAAGAGCTTTGGGTAACGCCGGCGCCGTGGCTCAATAGGCTAATCGTCCACCTTGAGGTGCCGGCACACCGGGTTCTAGTCCCGGTTGGGGCGCCGGATTCTGTCCCGGTTGCCCCTCTTCCAGGCCAGCTCTCTGCTATGGCCAGGGAGTGCAGTGGAGGATGGCCCAGGTGCTTGGGCCCTGCACCCCATGGGAGACCAGGAAAAGCATCTGGATCCTGGCTCCTGCCATCGGATCAGCGCGGTGCGCCGGCTGCAGCGGCGGCCATTGGAGGGTGAACCAACAGCAAAAAGGAAGACCTTTCTCTCTCTGTCTCTCTCTCACACTGTCCACTCTGCCTGTCAAAAAAAAAAAAAAGAGCCTTGGGTGATCACTGACATCATACTTAACAGTGTTAGTCATTCAATTAACAACTGGAGTCACCGTGCACTTACTTTCCATGCAAGACTTCTATCCTCAATGAGTTGTATTATGAAAATTAACTGTAAAACTTGTTCTCGATTTTTTTGCATGTGCATGTTTGTGTGCAAATTGTTGAAAGCTTTACTTAGTACAGAGTCGGTATTCTGTGTATAAAGTTAATTGAAAATTAATCTTAATGGAGAATGGAACTGGCAAGGGGAAAGGGAGGAGGAGGAATGGTGGGAGTATGTGTGGGAGGGCAGGTATGGAAGTAAGAATAACTACATTCCTAAAGTTGTACTTATAAAATTTGTATAAAAAATAAATTTAAAATAAATTTAAAAATAAATAAAAGTAAAAATAAATGTCAAACTCTGGCAAAAGATCTCTGTGAGTGAGATCCCAGTGGAAAGAACAGGTCTTCAAAGAAGGAGGTACCTTTCTCTGAAGGGAGGAGAGAACCTCCACTTTGACTATGACCTTGTCTAAACAAGATAAGAATCGGAGAACTCAGAGGGCTTCCATAGCCTTGGAAACTCATGACTGGAGCATAGGGAGATTACTGATGCCATAGACAGGAGTGTCAATTGGTAAAGTCAACAACAGGAGTCACTGTGCACTTACTCCTCATGTAGGATCTCTGTCCTTAATGTGCTGTGCATTGAGATTTAATGCTATAACGAGTACTCAAACAATATATTTCACTTTGTGTTTCTATGGGGGTGCAAACTGTTGAAATCTTTACTTAATGCATACTAAACTGATCCTCTGTAAAAAAAAAAAAAAAGAAAAGAAAAGAAATTATCAACTCCCAACTTGACTCTCACTGGGATTAAACATGACAATAGGTCTGATCTGATTTCATCATCATTTAAAAAAAATCATCTATTATTTTTCACTTTATGTTTCTGTGTGGGAGCAAACTGTTGAAATCCTTACTTAATGTATACTAAGCTGATCTTCTGTATATTAAGATAATCGAAAATGAATCTTGATGTGAATGGAAGGGAAGAGGGAGTGGGAAAGGGGAGGGTTGTGGGTGGGAGGGACGGTATGGGGGGGAAGCCATTGTAATCCATAAGCCGTACTTTGGAAATTTATATTCATTAAATAAAAGTTAAAAAAAGAAAGAAAGAAAAAAAAGAAAAAAATAAATGTCAAAAAATAAAAATAAGTTCATTGAAAAAGAATGTTAATGGAGAATGGAACTGGGAATGGAAGAGAGGGGAGGCAATGAGGTGAGAGTGGGGGTGGGAGGGCAAGTATGGTGGAAAGAATCATTATATTCTTAAAGTTGTACTTATGAAATTTTTACTCATTAAATAAAAGATTTCTTTGGGAAAAAAATAAAAGAAAGACAGAATGAATGAAAAAGAAAGAGAGAGATCTTCTATCTGCTGGTTCTCCAAATGACTACAACACCTAAGTCTGAGTCAGGCCAAAGTCAGGATCCAGAAACTCCTTTCTTGTCTCCCACCTGAGTAGCAGGGGCCCAAGTACTTGAACCATCTTCACTGCCTTCCCAACTGCATTAACAGGAATCCTGGATCAGAAGAAGAGCTTACGCAGTCAAAGCAGCACTCTGATACATGGTGCCAGAGTCACAAGCAGTGACTTAGCTCAATGCACTGCTGTGCCATGATGCCAGATGGTAGACAGACTGTCTGATGCCTGCCTTCCTTGCAACTCTATTCTTTCCTATTCATGTGTTCCCTCAACAATATTAAAAGGTTGTGCTCTAGAGGCTTGTTGTGTTGTGCAATGAGTTAAGCCACAGCTTGCAAAACTGGCATTCCATATCAGAGTGCCCATTTCAGTCTGGCTGCTCCATTTCCTATCAAACTTCTTGCTAATGTGCCTCGAAAGCAGTGGGATGATGGCCCAAGTGCTTAGATTCTGCCATGCACACGGAAGATCTGGATGAAGTTCCTTGCTTCTGCAGGCCCCACAAAAAGACCGTTGCAGCCATTTTTGAAGTGAACCCATTTGTGAAAGTGTTCTCTCTCCCTCTCCCTCCCCCTCAAGATTCTCTCTCCCTCTATTTCTGTGGCTCTGTCTTTAAAATACATTTAAAATAAACAATAAGTTGTGCTCTAGACCGTGATTATCACAAGACTCAACTAGACAGGTGAGTGGTGGCCTCCAGTCAAGGCAAATCTGGACTCTACCAGCCACTGACAAGCAAGAAGCCCAGGCCCCAAAATAAGTTCCTCCAGAGTGGTCCCTAGGAATCTTCAAACATCCAAAAATATCTAGTAGAAACCATTGTGGTGAACCTTGGTCCTTGGTCAAAGTTTAGGTGGTGTGTGAAACGGGATGGAGAAACAGGCTTTCATATGTCACTAAACTCTAGCTGAAAGTTAGTCTTTCTTCGCATAATGGAGGGATCTAACTAAACTCAGTAGGATTAGTGGATCTCCAGTGGAAACCACAAATGTTTTCGAGTCACATGGCTCTGGCTGCAGACACCCTTCCTCCTTCATGACTTCACCAAATGCAGTAGCCTAGGCTCCACTGCAAATCTCCTTAGGAGGCAGTGAATAAGCATGTAAGCTATAGAATTTCACAATTAGCTACATTACTGTTTTCATGGTTTTCTTGGTTTCCCTCTTCTAAGGCTAACAGAGGGGATTGCCTAGAGGAAAGACGGTTCTGGGCAGGCGGTGAGCACCTATAGGAGCACCTCCTGCTTCCCTGACACCCACCCCTCGCCAGTTTCCCTGTTGGTCAGGGAACTGCAAGGGTACGGGGGACGCTAGGGGCGCTAAAGAGCCAGAGTATGAGCGGTAGCTAAAGCCAGAATCGAAACAGTGGGAGGTCGCCGGCAGCCTGAGACCAAGTGAGCTAGGTTCTCAGACTTGGAACGCGCGCGACCCACCTTGCAAGAAACCCCGTGCGACCGCCCGACTGTGGCCGAGATCGGGCCTGAAGGGACTGCGCCTGAACGTAGACCGCCGCGTAGAGCGCCAGGCTGGCGGCCCGGCAACAGCGGCGCCCCCGGCGCCCGTGTATCCCGCAGCCAACGCTGCTGTTGCTACCGTTCTTGTGGTTGGTGCCGGAGGGCGCGGCAGGTGAGGGGTGGGGTGGCGATAGATGAGGAAGAGATGGGAGATAATCCTCCTCCCCCAGAGGAGCGCGGGTGGAGGTGGGGGAGGCGAAAGAGAAAACTGCTGAGAGTTGAGGGCAGGGCCCTTCCGGATCCAGAGTGCTGGTGAGACAGCGCTAGATCCGGGTGGCCCCACTACCGATTCTGGATAAGGCTGAGCAGTTCTGCAGGTGGGGGCCGATGGGAGCCGAGGACCCTGCCCGAGACCCATCCGACTCCAGAACTTTCTGGGGACCCAGTGGCTGGTCTCGGAGGACGCGATTTGCGCTTGGCCCGGGAAACCGGGCTTCCAGGGAGGCTCTAGGGAAGCTTGGGGGTGGGAGGCGGAAGTGGTCGGGAGTAAGGGTGACCAGCGCGTTAAGTCCACCTGGCTCTGCCGTACACCCGCCCATGGCTGGGATCTTCCTGGTCCCGTTTCAGGAGTTCCCCTTAGCACAGAAGTAAAGATTTCTGCATTCTCTGGCAGAGGCAGAGGGCGGGGAGAGCAATGAGGAAATTCTCTTACTAGGGCTGGAATTTCCATTCTTTCCCAGTCTTTCTGCGCAGCAGTGCTGGCCTGCCCATATCCAGTTCCCTGCCACAGACCAAGGCACACCCTACCTCACTGCAGAGGTGCCGAGTCAGGTGTTGAAATCAAAGTAACTGCTGATGTTCCTTAACCCAGTTTGTCCTAATTACTTCGCATACAAGAAGCCATTTTGGCTCCTGTCTCGGTTTGCTTGGGGTTTGGTTACACGATCCTCCTGGGATACCAAAATCCAGGAACTCTGGAATCACTAATCCAAAACTGGGTTGTATTGGCATATACTGCACAAACGCCCTCCTATATACTTTAAATCATCGCTAGGCTCTTTATAACGCCTCCTACAATATAAATACCATGTTAATAGTTGTTATATTGGTCTGTGTAGAAATAACAAAGTACAGATGCGGTTTTTTCCCTGAACATTTTCCATGTGTGATTGGCTGAATCCTTTGTGGAACTTGGGATCTGCAGCGCGGACTGTACCTATACAGATGATTAAACTGCGGCTAGGAGTGGGTGCTAGGTGGCAGCATTTGAAGCTGCAGTTGGAGTTTTGTCTGTTTTACTTGAGGTGGAATTTTCAAAATTTAAGTTTATTTATTTTAGTTTTATTTATTTGGAAGGCAGAATGACATGGAGGGGGGAGGAATTGAGAAACAGAAATTGAGAAGGAGAAATTGAGAGTGAGTGAGATCTTCCATTCACTGGTTCATTCCCTAAATGTCTGTTACAGCCTGGCAGAGGCATGAACTAGGAACTCCATCAGGGTCTGCTAGTAGGAGTCCAAGGTACTGATTCATCATAGCTGCCTCCCAGGGTCTCCATAAGCAGGAAACTGGATCAGAAGAGGAAGTGGAACTGTATCCAAGGCACTCCAATATGGAATGCAAGTGGCGGCTTAACCAGCTGCTCCACAATACTTGCCCTCTCAGAATGTTTTTAATATAAAACTGAAATATGCGCAAGTCCAAAGAACCCAACTGTGTATCTATAAACTTAAACTTTTTTTTTAAGATTTATTTATGTAGCCGGCGCCGCGGCTCAGTAGGCTAATCCTCTGCCTTACGGCGCCGGCACTCCGGGTTCTAGTCCCGGTCGGGGTGCCGGATTCTGTCCCGGTTGCCCCTCTTCCAGGCCAGCTCTCTGCTGTGGCCAGGGAGTGCAGTGGAGGATGGCCCAAGTGCTTGAGCCCTGCACCCCATGGGAGACCAGGATAGGCACAGTGCACTGCCGCAGCGGCCAGTGGAGGGTGAACCAACGGCAAAGGAAGACCTTTCTCTCTCTCTCACTGTCCACTCTGCCTGTCAAAAAAAAAAAAAAAAGATTTATTTATGTATTTGAAAGGCAGCATTACAGAGAGGCAGAAGCAGAGAGAGAGAGGTCTTCCATCCACTGATTCACTCCCCAAATGGTAGCAATGGCTGGAGCTAGGCCAATCCAAAGATAGGAGCCAGGAGCTTCCTCCAGGTCTCCCATGTGGGTACAGGGATCCAAGAACCTGGGCCATCTTCCACTGCTTTCCCAAACCATAACAGAAAGCTGGATCAGAAGTGGAACAGCCGGAACTCGAACTGGTGCCCACACGGCATACTGGTGCTCCAGGCAGCAGCTTCACCTGCTACACTACACCGCTGGTCCCTGAAGTTAAACTTTTTAAATTAAAAGGATATAATTTGTGGGACCAGCACTGTGGTGTAGTAGGTAAATCTGCCACTTGTAGCACCAGTATCCCATATGTGTTCTAGTTCGATTCCCAGCTGCTTCGTTTGCAATCCAGCTTCCTGTTAATATGCCTGGGAAAGTAGCAGATGTCCCAAGTACTTGGGCCCCTGTACCCACATGGGAGACACGGAAGAAGCTCCTGCCTCCTGGCTTTGGAGTGGCCCAGTCCCAGCCATTGCAGCAATTTGGGCAGTAAGCCAGTGGATGAAAGATCTCTCTCTCTCTCTCTAGCTCTGTCTGTAAAATAAATTAATAAATCTTTTAAAAAATGTATGATATGTCAACATGTGCTTCTAAGTTAATATATTAAATAATGCAATAAATAGCAACAAAGCTAGTAGCAGCCCCATTTGGAAACAGTGAGGAGGGTGAAACCTACTTCCAGGTGTCTGAAACTGTCATATGGGCTCTATTCATGGATAAAGCACAGGTCCTGCCAAACCTGCTGTGCTTTGTCGTCTTCATTTGTCATGGGAGGAAAGCGTAAGTTCCGATTAAATGTTAGTGAAAATAAATAGATTTTTTTCCATACAAATTGAGGCTCCAAAACTTAAGTTATTAGATTCTCACAGTCCCGAGAATCCATGAGCCAAAGGTTCAGAACCCCTGCCCTTCTTACAGCCCATCCCTGGCATGATCTAGGAATACACAGGTGATAGTAGCCCTGAAGGGTGTGTATAAACGTTGGGGTGTACACTGTAGCCTTATTGTAGCAGAGAGATAAAGCTAAGGGTGTTGTAATGGGAGATGGGGGAAGGATCCAGGGGATTCCATTAGGACCCTAGATACCACACCAGAAAGTCCATTCCCTCCATTTAGGAAGTGGACAGTGAGGTGATAGTACATGGACAGACCTGTCAAGAAGATGGTGGCTTTCAAGAGCAGAACTATGACTTCTGTGTCAGGGGAACCATCAGCCTCACAGCATTGTGTGATGAGGATTCTATTATTATCTGCATGATAGGGATGAGTAGGAATGCTGAGGCTCAGGTTGCACCAGGTCACATGAACAGTTAGGATTTAGACTCACCAGGCTGGCTCTGGAGTCCATGCTTCCTGGGAAAAGAGCCAAAGTAGGGATTCCTACAAGCTGGCAGAACCAATCACTGGTTTTTGGAATCAAGATGATTAGAGACAGAATAATTGGAGGATAGTATTATACAACGGATTCTGACAAAGCTGGACATGGAGGCTAGCAGGGGTGAAAGTGGGGAGGGATTCATGAGTAGATCTGGCTGGGGCCTGGCTGACTGTGCCACTAGTGTTGAGACTGGCAGACTGAGCCCAGAATAGGACATTCTGAGGGAATTGATCCTATGGGGCTTTAAGGGCTCTTGACCCTGAGACATCTTCGGTCCTCCTCTGCCTTCCTCTTCTCCCCTTCAGGTATCTCAGTGTGTTCTCGCTCTACATCCTTCTTCCTACCCTTGGCCTACGAACTCGATGTCCCCTCCATGCTGACCATAGGCACATACTTCTCTAGCTCAGAACTTGACCCCAAGCTCCAATCTTTACAGCCCTCACCTGTTTGGCCTCTCATGTATGCAAATACTTACAGTATCACTCACCTTGCACCAGGCGCTATTCTAGGAGATTTACAGTATTAACTTAGTTAACCTTCCGAACAGATCTACTACCTCCATGATTCAGATGGGGGAACTGAGACATAGTGATGTGGCCTAGCCCTTTCCTCCCAGACTCATATTTTGCACTTTTGTTCTACCCTAATCTGTACACACAACTTTCTTTTTTACTTCAGGAATTCCTACCTACTATTCCTTTGCCTAAAGAAGTTTCAGGGCTGGCATTGTGGCACAGTGGATTAAGCCACCACCTACAATGCCAGCATTCCATATGGGTGCTGGCTCAAGCTGCAGCTACTCCCCTTCTGAACCAGCATCAGTGTTAATGCACTGGAAGGCAGCAGAAGATGGCCAAATACTTGGGACCCTGTTATCCATTTGGGAGACCAAAATGGAGTTTCTGACTTCAGCCTGGCCCAATGCTGACTCTCTCTCTCTCTCTCTCTCTCTCTCTCTCTCTCTCTCATTCTCTCCCTGCTTTTCAAATAGCTACATAAATAAATTAATTAAGTTAAGTGACAGAGATGGACCTACCATGCAGTGGCTCACTCCCCAAATGCCCACAACAGCCATGGCTGGCCCATGCCAAAGCTGAGATCTGAGAACTCAATTCTAGTCTTTAATATAGATAGCAGGGACTCAACTACTGTCACTTGCTGCCTCCCAGAGCATGAGCATTCTGATGGAGGATGCAGGCATCCCAAGTAGTATCTTAACTGTGAAGCACAATACCTGCCCCCTGAAAATTTGCATTTCTACCAAATTCCTAGGTGATGCTGATGCAGTTGATTCATGGACTCACAAGCCTTGAACATTCTTCCCTCCTCTCCCACCCCACTACCTGGTAACACAGCTAGTGAGGTTTCAGCTAAGTTTCCTCTTCTAAGACCTTCTAACACAGTGACACAGCATCTGATATTACCTGCACTTTGACACTTGTCAGCCCTGCTGTCCTTACTAGACTTGCTTAATTATCCCTTGTCCCTGCCAGGCCACAACTGCCTAGAGGCCAGGTCTGTCTCAGTTTATAATGTGTCCCCACACAGACCCCCATTTAGCTGAGTGCCTGGCTTATAATAGGTACTCAACAAATGTTTACCAGATGAGTGTTACTTCAAGTATAGGAATTCACAGCACACCACCAAGTTATAAGTGTTCTGCTTAGAACTCCAAGGCAGCATAAGTGGGTCACCTGAAACCATCAGTGCCTGCAAGTGTACAGGATACACCCAGACCAATTCAATCCATGTCAATGGTAAGTTCTCAGGGCTTCCAGGTCATTCTGGAAGCAGCCAGGTGGGGAATCTCAGGCAGAGATGAGGATAGCCAAGGAGGTCAGCCTTGGCTTCCCTTATTGTAAGTAGGAATGCTCAGGGCTACCTCACAGAATTGCAGTGAATCAATATAGTGCCCCCTCTTTCTGCAGCTTCATTTTCTGCGATTTCAGTTACTCACTGTCAACACGGATCCAAAAATACTAAATGAAAATCTGGAAGATAAAAGAATCCATAATTTTTTTAAGATTTATTTACCTATTTGAGAGGTAGAGTTACAGAGAGAGAGGAGAGACAGAGAGAGAGATATTATATCTGCTGGTTCACTCCCCAAATGGCCACAATGGCTGGAGCTGAGCCAATCCAAACCCAGGAGCCAGGAGCTTCTTCCTGGTCTCCCATGGAGGTGTAGGAGCCCAAACACTTAGACCATATTTTACTGCTTTCCCAGGCGATAAGTAGAGAGTTGGTTTGGAAAAGGAGCAGCCAGAACACGAACCAGGGCCCATATGGGATGCCAGCACTACAGGTGGAGGCTTAGCACACTACTCCACAGTGCCAGCTCCAAAATCTATAAATTTTAAGTTACATGCCACTCTGAGTGGTGTGGTGAAATCTGACAACATCCCACTCCATTCTGTCTGAGATGTAATCTTCTACTTCCTGGTGTATTCATATGTATTTGCTTCCCAACCATTAATCTCTTTTGTACATGTTTGGGTTATCAGACTGTTGCAGCATGAGTATATTATAATTATTCTATTTTATTATTAAGTATTGTTAATCTCTTACTTGCCTCATTTATAAATTAAGATTTTTTTAAATTTATTTGAAAGAGTTACAGAAAGAAGTAGAGACAGGTCTTCCATCCACTGGTTCACTCCCCAGAAGTCCACAATGGCCAGAATTGCACCTATCAGAAGCCAGAGCCAGGAGCTTCTTCCAGGTCTCCCATGTTGGTGCAGGGGCCCAAGGACTTGGCCACAATGGCCTGAGCTGCTCTGATCCGAAGCCAGAAGCCAGGGGCTTCTTCTGGGTATCACAGGTGGATGCAGGGGTCCAAGGACTTGGGCCATCTTTTAATGCTTTCCCAGACCATAGCAGAGAGCTGGATCGGAAGTGGAGCAGCTGGGTCTCGGACCAGCATCCATATGGGATGCTGGCACTTCAAGCCAAGTCATTAACCTGCTGTGCCACAGTACCGGCCCCCGGTCCAAGTCCACCCTCCACTACTTTCCCAGGAGCATTAGCAGGAAGCTGTATCAAAAGTGGAGCTGGAACTTGAATTGGTACCCATATGCAATGCCAGTGCTGCAGGTCCAGACTTTAACCAGCTACACAACAGCACTGGACCCTATAAATTAAGCTTTGTTATGATTATGTGTGTAGAGGAAAAAAATCACAGTATCTACTCCTTTAAGGAACAGTACTATCTATGGTTTGAGGCATTCACTGCGGGGGTCTTAGAATGAATCCAATATGGGTCATGGGACTTCCATACTTATTGAGTGCAGGAATGATGCCTGGCACAGAGGCCTAGATTGCAGGCATGTTGTTTTTACACCCACAAGCAGGGCCAAGTTTCCAGTTACACTTGCAGTAGGGCCCCCACATTCTTCTTCCTGTTGATCATGCCAGTAAGTTTCATTTCCTATCATCTCTCCAAGCAGTCAACAAAAATGCATGAGATATTTTTATACTAAGATTCATAATACCATTCTCTGTTTCTCCCCTTGCAGAGAGTCCCTGGGGTCTCCCCGTGGTGGCCGATGGCCCAGCTTCCTTAGCAAAGGTGGTGATGGCAGAACTGGCCAGCCTGAAGTTAGAAAACAAGCCATGGCCTGGAGGTAAGCCCTGCTTATCCACTGAAAAATAGGCGAGATGGTGGTGGTCAGTGGCCTCCAACCTGCAGGAGGATGTACAGTAGTTAGAATCTCTTAGATTGTCTTGTAGTGGGAGACAGAGGCCAGAGCTGCCTACAGTTGCCAGCAGGCTAGATCTGGCCTCCAGAGGACTGGCTCCTTCCTCTGATAACTTCCCTTTCTCTGGTTCTACCCCCCCATACCCATCCTCTGCTTCAGAATAGGAAAGGGTAGACAGCTCACATATGTCTGTAGAGCCCTTCCTCTTATATTTGCTCTTATTGTGCCTTATCTCATTGAACGGACTCAGAATTGTGAAGCAATTAATTGCCCTCAGTTAGATGGGGTTGGGGTGATATGTAGAGGTAGGGGAGATGCTATAAGGAGTTGAGCTGTTCATGTCTTCCCAGGCTTACAGTTTCAATTGGGTGTGTTCATTAAAGTATGGCTATATAGTCAAGTCCTGTTGCACTCTGACTACACAACTGTGTGAGTGTGGCAGGTAATTTTGCTTCTCCAAAGTATAGTATCCCCACCTATCATAGACACGTAACAACACTAATACCTGCCTATTAGAAGGAATTGGACCGGGGGCCGATACTGTGGCACAGCAGGTTAATGCCTGTTTTAATAGCTTGAGTTGAGACTGACTGCTAAATAGATTTCATCTCTGGCACTTTTGAACAGATGAGTTGGAAAGTTAGGAAGCATAATATATAACAATCTTGAGGTACATTTGTACTTAAAGAAAAAGTGAATGACTAGCATTGTTATCTGGGAGAAGGAGGGAGTGGGGAACAGAAATCAAGATACCTCAAGCTGGCTAGCTGTGGCCCAAGCTAAGAATGATGACTGATCTTTATCGCAGTCTCTGGGGAATACATAGTTTCATATAAATTAAGATTCCAAACAACCATCTTTTTAAGAATAACATTCTTTTTTCATTGTGAGATGGGAAACCAGAACCACACTTCTAAGAGATGAGGGTTAGTAGCCCTGAGCATGGGGCTAGGAAACTTCCTAGGAGTAACATCCAAGAGCCTTAGTGCTTGAACTTTGGTCTCAATGTCAGAATGATTATTTTAGCTATTTGAATGCCATGTCCTTTTTTCATTGTGGTAAAATAGACATATCATAAAATTTACCATTTAACTATTTTTAAGTGTGTAATTATGTGACGTTCAGTACACTGACATTGCTGTGCAACCATCACCACTACTATTTCCAGAGTGTTTCCCTCTTCCCAAACTGAAACTCCACACCCATTAAGTACTAACTCCCTATGTGCCCCTCGATCAAGCCCTTTGCACCACCCCACAACCAACCTTTTCATTTTGTTGAAATCCCAGTTCTTGATATTGCTAATAGCAAATACTCTCTGGGAAGGTTTCTACCCACCAACTCACACCCACCCCTGCACAGGTGCTGGCAGTACATAGACACTTAAGATCATTTTCATGTTTCCACAGGGACACATTCTCTCCACTATCACTACCTGGCTCTGTCAGAGCCAGGCCCAAGCCTCCCTGAGTTTTTGGCTGTGGGTTATGTGGATGACCAGCCCTTCATCCGATATGACAGTCGTACGGGCAGGGCTGAGCTTCGGGCCGCATGGATGGCACCTGTGGACACCCAGTACTGGGAGACAGAGACCCAGAAACAGAAGGCATGGGAGAAAGTACAGCAGGTGGAGATGTGGACAGTGATGGGATACCACAACCAGAGCAGTGGTATGTACAGTGGGCTCCCTTCCTGGTCTCTACTTTATCTGCATGCTGACCTCCTCCAACTCCATCTGTTATGCCCATTTGCCAGGAAACAAACTGCTCTGCAGGTACACTCCTTAATTCAAAGCTAAGCAGAGCTGCAGTGGCCTTCAAAATAGGTTTTAGTTCCAGTGAACACCCTCTGACAAGCATCACAAATGTCTGCAGGAGCTAGGGATCCATGATGCCTCCCCCTTGGCCGCCAGAGTTCCAGACCTCCCCAGACCAGGAGAGGCCTTTACCTGCCTCACTCATCACCTTCCCTAGTTACTTCAAATCATTCTCACCCCCAGTCCCTCAAATACCAGATGAGACTGGATGAAATAGGCAGATAGCTCAGGGCGGGAAAGAAAGAATTCCTGCTCTTACCAGTGTCAGGGAGAGGAGACAGGGCATTGCTTTCACCTTAATATTCAATGAGCACCACATGGAGCACGTTCCAAGTGTGAGCCTTTCCTCTTGCTCTGTGCCAACACACCCAAATGACAAAACTAAAATCCACAGGTCCCCAAGAGGTCTCAGAAGGAGAGATGAGGACTGGGAAGGGCTGTGCTTCAGGAGGTGTGTCTGAACCCAGCCCAGGGTCCCCAGGATAAATATTACCAGGCTCAGAGCTGGCATTGTGGCATAGCAGGTAAAGCTACTTTCTGTGACACTAGCATCAAATATGGGCACCTATTTGAGTCCTGGCTGCTCCACTCTTGGATCCAGCTCCCTGCTAATGTACCTGGGAAAGCAGCAGAGGGTGGCCCAAGTGCTTGGACTCCTGTATCCACTTGGAAGGCCTGGAAGAGACACCTGGCTCCTGGCTTCCGCTTGGCCCAGCCCCAGCTGTTGTATACACACACACACACACACACACACACATACACACACACATTACTAGACTTAACAGATTTCACATTGAAATCTCTGAAATTGGGCCATGTCTCAGTGTTACCATTCAGGATACCTGAGCCCAATAGATAACTTAGTTTTCTCCTTCTTTGTGGCTTACAAAATAATGATGTGTCATAATCATGAACATGGGTGTTTTTCCTCCATGAAGAAACAGAGGAGCATAGGGGTCCAGCAAGTTTCTCAGGCTTGGCTGCTCATGAGAATTAATTGGGGACCATGTTTTTAAATGCTGATGCCCTGTCACATACCTCCCCCTGCCTTAGGAGGCCCCTGTGGGTGGCGACCTCTCTCAGCTCTCAAGGAAGCTGCTTGATGATTACCAAGGCCTCCTTGCCCACATGCACAGGCACACACACTGCTCAACGCATGTTTGGCTGTGAAGTCCAGGAGGATGGCAGCTCCAGTAGCTTCTGGCAGTTTGGCTTCGATGGGCAGGACCACCTGTCATTGGATGTGGAGACACTGAGCTGGGTATCAGCTGAGCCAGTGGCCGTGAGGACAAAGCGCTGGTGGGAGACAGAGCGTTGCTATGCTGAGTACGACAAAGCCTACCTAGAAGGCCTCTGTCTCACCTCCCTGCACAGGTACCTGGAGCTGGGAAGCCAGAGCCTCACCAGGAAAGGTAAGGCCCAGTTAGAAGCAATGCAGAGTGATCCCTATACCCTCATCATGAGAGCCATGCCCCTTGGCAGAGAAGCCTACAAGAGAGGAGGTTAGGCTGTATCCTGCTCTCAGATGAACCAACTGCAGCCCAGAAATTTGGCCAGTTAGCCAACAGCTTCCTCATGTAGAGCTGAACAGAGAAGGCACACACTTCAGGCCATTGTACCAGGTAAGGTGGAGGAAGCAGTTCTGGAATCTCACTTGCCCCACAGAGTAGTCTTGATAACGAACCTCCAGATCCTCAGCCTTATTTCTTTAATATGTATACAGCAAATGGGTTAAACTCAATTGTTCATGAAGCCCATTGGAATTTATTGTCCTGTGGTTTCATCCCTTGAGAAATAGACCCCAGACCAGTTCTCAGACCACTCCAGGCTGCCAGGGAAGCTGAAGCCCTTCACACACCCCTTACTCTAAACATGTTCCCTAGACTCCAGGTGCATCCTGAACTTCTCCCAACCCTGAGCAGTGGGACTGGAGATACAGGATCAGAGATGCACAGAAAGAGAGAAGAGTATTCAAGGGTGCTGAGAGTGGAAGCTTTTAGGATTGCAGTGGTCAAAGAGAATGGGGGCCAGGATAGATCAAAGCACCCTGCACTCTTGATTGTCTTTTGATTGAGGGGTGGGCTAGATGGGACAGATGATATAAGGAAATGATATGACTTTAAGAGCACAACCCAGTGTTCAGAGCTCAGGTACTTGAGCCTCACCCTTCAGATCCAGATCTCAGCTCAGGATATGCCTGCTGTTTGACCTTATACAAATTACTTGCCCTTTCTGTGTTTCAGTGTCCTCATCATGTAACAGGGACAGCAATCAACACCAGCATTCCTGAACACCATATTGTGTTACATCAGTGAATGTTGAGCTCTCACTCAGCACTGGTGTCATCCTGTGCCCTTTACCTGGAATAGCTCATCGAATCCTCAGAATAACCTTGAGAGGAGGGAATGATTAATCCCCATTAAGCTTTGAGAGACAGATGGATTATAGGGCCTCTTAAAAACTATACGGCTATAAAGGGCCAATGACAGCTTCACATTCAAGCTGCCTGATGCAAGCCACACTCATAACCCACGTAATGCTAAATATCAACATTCTTGCCTTCACTTAAAGCAACCAGTTATTAGAGACCATCTGCTGTGTTCAGGAAGTCACAGGACAGCTATATGAAGTATGGGGGAAAAAATAGAGTTTCTGTGAGAAATATAAAATGCTCCCTAGAGGTCAGGGATAGGAAGTCACATAAACCCTATGGATTTCTCAGGACAGTGCCCCTTTGGTATGGCTGGCAGTGTTCATCCATGCCTACACTGGAGAGAATCCCTGTCCTCATGTCCTCACTGTCCTCCAGCCAGGATGATGGCAGAGGCAATGGGGTAAGGCACTGGGGCAAAGAGTAGGGCTGGATACAGAGAGGATGCCCACTAGTCTTCTTCCTTCTGTCTCTGTAGAGCCTCCCATGGTGCACATAACAAAGCACATGACCCAGGATGGAACCACACTGAGGTGCTGGGCCCTGGGATTCTACCCACAGGACATCTCATTGAACTGGTGGCTGGATGGGGAGGAGCTGACGTTGGAGACTGAGCATGTGGAGACCCGCCCCAGTGGAGATGGCACCTACCAGACATGGGTGGCTGTTCAGGTGCCGGCTGGGAAAGAGGCTTGGTACAGCTGCCACGTGCGGCATCCTGGGCTGAACCATACACTCACCGTGGCCTGGGGTGAGGAGCTGGGTTTTCTGGGAGAAGGCAAAGAGGGACAGGAGAAGGATCAAGGGCACCTGGATATGGCCCATGGCCTGAGGGATGCCCCCTTTTCTTTGCTTTCTTTAGAATCACCTTCGAATAGTGGGCTCATTGCCATGGCTATCTCCACAGTCTTGATCACCATCATGCTGATAGCTGTAACTGTAATATGGTCCAAGAGGTGCCTTCAAGGTAAGTGGGGAAGACGAAGGGTGGGAGGCGCGCCTGTCTGGTCTAACCCAGTAGGGAGGAATGTTCTGCTCCAAACCTTAGCCAGAAATGTTCCCACCTAGGGGGTATAGCTACTGCTGAGGCTTGGCACCCTGCTCCACCTATGGAAAAGCCCTTAGCCAATACCCTGTGAATCCCACAATCACAAGAAAGCCACTGGGCCTGACCTTGTAAAGCACCTGGAAGGGGAGGAGGAGAACAAAGCTGAGGACCTGTGGCTACCTCAACTCCCTTCTACCACCTCTGCCCACACTCATACAATCTCTTTTTGTGTTTTTTTTTTTTTTTTCCTCCTGCAGCCTGGAATAAGAAGTCCTATGTGCAAACCCCAGGTGACTGGCATGGGTGGGTTGGGGAGAAGTCCCAGTGCTCCCAAGTATGGCTGAGATACTTTAGAATCAAAGATAGGGGTGAGGTGGTGGGGCTTTCCTGTCTCCAGCCATAGCCTCAGTTCTTTGCTCCCTCCCTCTGTCCTTCCCCAGCAGGTACTAGCATTGGTAGAGAGAGTTGGTGCCACCTCTCTCCTTCCTCTCCAACAGGACAAGACCCTGAATCTCAGTGCCCAGTGACAGCAGGAACTCCTCAGTCTTCTCTGCTGACAGAAATTCCCTTTACTACATAAAGGATGTGTTTTTGGGGCCAGCACCATGGCTCACTTGGTTAATTCTCCGCCTGCATCCCGTGTGGGTACCAGGTTCTAGTCCCGGTTGCTCCTCTTCCAGTCCAGCTCTCTGCTGTGGCCCGAAAGAGCAGTGGAGGATGGCCCAGGTGTTTGGGCTCCTGCACCCACGTGGGAGACCAGGAAGAAGCACCTGGTTCCTGGCTTCGGATCGGTGCAGCACCGGCCGTGGCGGCCATTTGGGGAGTGAACCAATGGAAGGAAGACCTTTCTCTCTGTCTCTCTCTCACTCACTGTCTATAACTCTACCTGTCAAATAAAAAAAAAAAAAAAGGATGTGTTTTGTGGCATGCTTGATGGGCCTGGAAACACCTATACTGGCTGGTGATGGGTGTGATCTGATCACAAAAGGGCCACCCTGTCCCTGAACAACCCTTTCTCATCCTCCTCAGCCTAATTATAAGCAGTCTGTATGCAAGATGACTTTGTTGGCTTCCCAATTCTAACCGTCCCTGTTTGAGGGGTGGAGAGGGAGACAACTATTCCTTTGACCTATTTCACACTTGACAATTTGCAGAATGATTTCATCAAAGTGCACATCACACTTGAGCTTCGCAGGCATCCTGTGAGTTTGGCCATGCTGTCTTCCCCACCTACCCAACCTGGGAACTGAGGCTCAGGCCAGTTAAGAACCAGAACATGGGTATCTAGATGTGAAAATCTGAGTGTGAGGGTGTGAGTATCCTTGCTTATGTGAGAAGAAGCTCATAAGAATGGATGCCCTAGAGACTGTTAGTTATCCTACAGGCAGCTGGAGGATTGAATACACAGTCAGTTTTCTCCCTATCTTTCTGAATATTTTGAATTTTTACAGTAAAGATTTGTTTGTGTTCTGTGGAAATGCTTGTAAGTATGTGACCTGGGGAAGGCCTAGCCTCACCTTCCCTGATTTTCAGCCGAGCAAAGCCCCTTGTCTCTTTGTGGTCTCCTAGGACCACATGTCTTTGTTTACTCAACAGTTATAGTCTCATGCCTCATGTGCAGAGAGCTAGGACTGGAATAGAGAAGCCAGACCCCTAAGAAAGGCTCTGTTCAAATTGTTGAGTTTGGGCTGGCACTGTGGCGCAGCAGGTTAACTCCCTGGCCTGAAGGGCTAGCATCCCATATGAGTACCGGTTCAAGACCCGGCTGCTCCATTTCCCATCCAGGTCTCGGCTGTGGCCTGGGAAAGCGTTGGAGGATGGCCCAAGTCCTTGGTCCCCTGAACCCACATGGAAGACCTGGAGGAGGCTCCTGGATCCTGGCTTCGGATTGGTGCAGTTCAGGCCATTGTAGCCATTTGGGGAGTGAACCAGCGGATGGAAAGTCTCTCTCTTTCTCTCTCTTTCTCTCTCTCTCTTTCTCTCTCTCTCTCTCTCTGTAACTCTGCCTTTCAAATAAATAAACCTTTAAAAATAAATAAGTAAACAAAAGACAAATAAGTTGGACTTCATCAAAATTAAAAGGTCTACCCTTTCTTTTAAAAAAAGATTTATTTGTTTATTTATTTATTTATTTGAAAGTCAGAGTTATTCAAGAGAGGAGAGGCAGAGAGATAGAGGTCTTCCATCCAATGGTTCACTCCCCAGTTGGCTGCAACAGCCAGAGTTGCGCCGATCAGAAGCCAGGGGCCAGGAGCTTCTTCCAGATCTCCCACATGGATGCAGGGGCCCAAGCACTTGGGCCATCTTCCACTGCTTTCCCAGGCCATAGCAGAGAGCTGGTTGCAAAGTGGAGCAGCCAGGACTCGAACCAGCACCCATATGGGATGCTGGTGCTTCAGTCCAGGGCATTAATCCACTGCACCACAGCGCAGGCCCAGTAAAGGTCTACTCTCAAAAACAATGCTTAAGAAAGGAAAAAGCAAGCCTCATAATGAGTGAAAATATTAGCCAATTATGAAGTATAAGTCTCATAAGGTAAGAGTTTCCAGAATATACAAACAACTCTCAAAACAATAGTTAAACAACCTAAATTGTTCTTTTTTATTGAAAGATTTGTTTATGTATTTGAAAGTCAGAGTTACAGAGTGAGAGAGGAAGAGAACTTCCAGCTGCTGGCTCATTTCCCAGTTGGCTGCAACTGCCAGGGCTGGACCAAGGCTGAAGTCAGGAGCCTAGAACTCTATCCAGGTCTCACACATTGGTGCAGGGCCCAAATACTTGGGCCACCTTGTTCTTTCCCAGGCTTATTAGTAGGGAGTTGAAATGGAAATGGAGCAACTGCCACTCAAATCAGTGCCCATGTGGGATTCTGACTCACGAGATGTAGCTTAACATACTGTGTCACAACACCAACCCATCAGCCCAATTTTTTAAATGGGTAAAATATTTGAATAAACACTTAACCACAGAAAATAATGGAATGACACATGAAAATATGTTCATCTTTAGCAATTAGTAAAAGACACACTAAACCACAATGAGATACCACTTCATACATATTTGAATGGCTAAAATTAAAAACTCAGTTTCAGTTTCCTCCCATCCTCAGCAATACTTAATATGGTCAATGTTATGGCAGGAATAACAAAATAGCACAACTACTTTGGAAAAGCCTGGCAGTTTCTTTAAAAGTTTAAATATACCTCCCAAAGAATCAGTTATTTAGGGCTGGCATTGTGGCGTAGCAGATTAAGCCACTGTGTGTGACACCAGCATCCCATGTGGGCACTTGTTCAAGACCTGACTGCTCCACTTCCAATCCAGCACCTTGCTAATGAGCCTGGGAAAGCAGAGAAAGATGTCCAAAAGATGGGAGACCTGGAAGAAGCTCAGGGCTCCTGGCTTCAGCCTGGCACAACCCTGGATCCTTGCAGCCACCTGGGGAGTGAACCAGCAGATGGAAGAGCTCTCTCTGTCTCTGCTTTTCTATCTGTAACTCTGCCTTTTCAAATAAATAAGAAATAAATCTTAAAAAAGAGAGAGAGAATCAGTTCTTCTACTCTCAAGTATTACCCAACAGGAATGAAATCGTTTGTCCATACAAAAATTTAAACATGAACATCCATAGAAGCTTTATTTGTAATAGGTGAAAATTAGAATAAAAATCCATCAACATAAATATGGATGATCTAATTGTATTATATCAAACAATAGAATATTACTCATGAGTAAAAAGGAATGAACTCTTGACAAATACAACAGCATAGATGAAAAATTATGTAAAAGAAGCTCTTCCAAAAAGAGTTTCTACATGTGATTCCATCTCGATAGAATGCTAGAAAATGCAAATTAATCTATAGTGACAGAAAGAAAATCAGTAATGGCTTGGGATAAGGGTGCAGAGGGACTTTGAATCAAGAGGAAATTTTTTGGAAACAATGAGTACATTCATTATCTTGATTATCATATGTACTTTTTTAAGAAAGCTTTTATTTAATAAATATAAATTTCATAGGTACAACTTTTGGATTATAGTGGTTCTTCCCCCCATCCCCACTCTCCTAACCCCACTCCCGTCCCACCTCCTACTCCCTCTCCCATCCCATTCTTCATTAAGATTCATTTTTAATTATCTTTATTATTGTATATACTTTTGTCAGAGCTTATCAAAATTCTAAAATGCACAGTATATCTAGTTGCAAATTTTAAGTAAAATAAAAAAGAAATATATTTATATTATTGTGTATGTGTGTGTGTGTGTGTGTATGAGAAATAAAATGGCAACAAGAAATCTATGGAAATGTATGGAATGATGAAATTAGACTCTGGACATTCTAGGAAAGACTTTCACCTGACTATGTGAGACCTATCTCGTAACTTTTTTTTTTTTTTTTTTTGACAGGCAGAGTTAGACAGTGACAGAGAGAGACAGAGAGAAAGATCCTTCTTCCGTTGGTTCACCCCCCAAATGGCCACCACGGCCGATGCGCTGCGCCAATCCGAAGCCAGGAGCCAGGCGCCTCCTCCTGGTCTCCTATGCGGGTGCAGGGCCCAAGGACCTGGGCCATCCTCCACTGCCTTCCTGGGCCACAAGCAGAGAGCTGGACTGGAAGAGGAGCAACCCGGACAGAATCCGGTGCCCCGACCGGGACTAGAACCCAGGATGCCGGTGCTGCAGATGGAGGATTAACCTAGTGAGCCACGGCACTGGCCCGTAACTTCTTAAATATTCTTCACACATGGAATTAATCATGGTGTCCTTTGTGTACCTGCTTATATAATTGCTCCCTTCTCCCAACCAATGATCAGCAACAGGAGAACAGAAAAATCAATGGATTTATGCTTTTGTTTCCAGCCCCTGGTGCAGGGTTTCAAAAGGAAGAACAATACTACAAACAATTGTGTTAATAGCCACTGTACACTCGTAGTAAGGGGACACCAAGCAAGGTTGAAAAAGAAGACAGTCCAGGATGCCAGCAAGGATTGCAGAGGGGAACCACCAATTTGAATGTTAAAGAAAATATAACACCAAAGAGGAAACCTGTTGAAATGAAATGGACACTATGAGAAAGAGTGACGTGATCGGCCCGTGTCCTGACTGTTGATGTACAACTTACTACTTTATCCCTTTTATTATTTTTTTTGTTCTACTTAATACTATTGGTTGAACTCTGTAATTAACACACAATTATTCTTTGGTGTTTAAATTTAACTGAAAAGTGATCTTGTTAAATATAAGAGTGGGAATAAGAGAGGGAGGAGATGTACAGTTTGGGACATGCTCAACCTGACTTGCCCCAAATGGTAGAGTTAGAAATGTGCCAGGGGATTCCAATTCAATCCCATCAAGGTGGCATGTACCAATGCCATCTCACTAGTCCAAGTGATCAATTTCAGTTCACAATTGATTATACTGATAGGTCTGAGTCAAAGGGATCATATAAACAAGACTAATGTCTGCTAATACTAACTGATAGAATAAAAAAGAGAGAGAATGATCCAACATGGGAAGTGAGATACACAGCAGACTCATTGAATGGCAGATGTCCTAAACAGTACTCTGGCCTCAGACTCAGTCCTTAAGGCATTTGGATCTGGCTGAAAAGCCCATGAGAGTATTTTAGGCATGGAAAACCAAGACACTCTGGTAAAAAAAAAAAAAAAAAAAAAAAAAAAAAAAAAAAAACACCACCTAAGTGAAAGATCTCTGTGAGTGAGATCCCAGTGGAAAGCATGGGCCATTAAAGAAGGAGGTACCTTTCTCTGAAGGGAGGTGTGAACCTCCACTTTGACTATGACCTTGTCTAAATAAGGTCAAAGTCAGCGAACTCAAAAGGCCTTGGCAGCTCATGACAAGAGCCTAGGGAGATTACTGACTACATAAACAAGAGTGTCAATTTGCTAAGTCAACAACAGGATTCACTGTGCACTTGCTCCACATGTAGGATCTCTGTCCTTAATATGTTGTTCAATGTGAATTAATGCTATAACTAGTACTCAAATAGTATTTTACACTTTATGTTCTGTGTGGGTGCAAACTGTTGAAATCTTAATATATACTAAATTGATCTTCTGTGTATAAAGATAATTGAAAACGAATCATGGCCGGCGCCGCGGCTCACTAGGCTAATCCTCCACTGGCACCCCATGTTCTAGCCCCAGTAGGGGCACCAGTTCTGTCCCAGTTGCTCTTCTTCCAGTCCATCTCTCTGCTGTGACCCAGGAAGGCTTTGGAGGATGGCCCAAGTGCTTGAGTCTTGTACCCACATGGGAGACCAGGAGGAAGCACCTGGCTCCTGGCTTTGGATCGGTGCAGTGTACCAGACATGGCGGCCATTTGGGGGGGGGGGGTGAACCAATGGAAAAAGGAAGACCTTTCTCTCTCTCTCTCACTGTCTAATTCTGCCTGTCAAAAAAAAAAAAAAAAGAAAAAGAAAATGAATCTTGATGTGAATGGAATGGGAGAAGGAGAGGGAGTTGGGAAGGTTGTGAGCAGGAGGGAAGTTACAGCGGGGGCCGGGGGGGAGCCATTGTAATCTTAAGCTGTACTTTGGAAATTTATATTTGCCAAATAAATGTTTTAAAAAATTCAAAAAAAATAAAATAAAATATCTGATATCTGGATATGAGTTTAGAATAGGAAGAGCCTGAGTCTTGAAGCCAGAGAGGAGGAAAAGGCAGAATCCCAGCATCAATAAGCACTTTGGAAGTCCTTTACCAGTCTCTGAGCCCAAGGATTGGCAAACTTTCTGTAAGTGTCAGGTAGCAAATATTTTACACTTTCCAGCTGAATACCATATCTATCAACATATTCTTCCTCATTTTTGTTTTAATATAATTTCTGTATTCTCTTTTTACAGACTTTTTAAAATTTCAAAATCATTTTTTATGTTCCAAAACCCCCTCAGCACCTAGCTGGGTTCGGGAGGCTAGCAATCCTCCTGTGGTTAGGAGAAATATTGGTTGGGGAGATGGCAGGGCCACAAGAAGGCTGAAAACTGAGCCTCCCTCTACACAGGAAAAAATTACTGAATCTTCACAACATGAGAGAATGTGAAAGAAGCCCCTATCCTAGTTGCCACTTGGATTTCAGGAGAGGGGCAGTGTATTAGTTTCATTTCTGCTACTGTAACAAAATACCTGAGATCTTGTAATTTATAAAAAAAAGCAGTTTACTTTGACTCATACTTCTGTAAGCTAGAAAGTCTAATATCAATGGCAGTAGGCTTCTAGCTACATCACAACATGGCAGTGGCCATTCCATGGTAACACAGAGCAAGCTAGCAAGGGAAAGCTCACTTTTCATAACAAAGCCATTGTTGTAATAACCTATCAACCCACTAATGCATAAATGGATTAATCTACTTATGAGGACAGAGCCTTCATGAATGCAATCAACTCCCAAAGGTCCCACCTCTTAATATTACTGTATTGGGGACCAGATTTCTAAAATGTGAACTTTTATAGCAGGTGGTAATTTAGAGGTTAAATGAAGATGAGAAAATAGCTAATACATTTTACAAATCTCCCTTTACCTAAGTTTTTTTTTTTCTTTGACAGGCAGAGTTAGACAGTGAGAGAGAGAGACAGAGAGAAAGGTCTTCCTTTTGTTGGTTCACCCCCCAAATGGCCACTACGATCCAAAGCCAAGAGCCAGGTGCTTCCTCCTGGTCTCCCATGCAGGTGCAGGGCCCAAGCACTTGGGCCATCCTCCACGGCCTTCCTGGGCCACAGCAGAGAGCTGGACTGGAAGAAGAGCAACCAGGACAGAATCCAGCGTCCCAACCGGGACTAGAACCCGGGGTGCCAGCGCCGCAGACAGATTAGCCTAGTGAGCTGCGGTGCCGGCCCTACATATTCTTGAGAATAGATATTCTGTATTCTCTGGATGCTTCATTTCTGCCTCACCAGTTCCCTCAAGACACTCCCTCTGTCTCATCTCTTCTCCTAGTCTTTCTCTTTTCTTCAACTGTTCTTCCTACCTGGTCTCAGCTCCTTTGAAGATATAGGCAGGAGCATGCTTTTACACAGTCCTTCTTCCCTTAATCTTTTCTCCAGCTCCTCACCTACCCCTACTTTTCCAGCCACCCCATCTATGCTAGGCAGAACCTGAATTTAGGAATGGGGAAGTATTCTGACCTGGAAGCTCAGTTCCAGTTCTCCTTGATGCTCTGTGGCTGCCTGGGCTCAGTCCTGATTTCCAGGAAGGCTGTCAGGTCGTATACTAGAAACTACCAAATAAATAAAAAGCACCAAAAGGTGTCCCACCTTAGGTAGATCAGACTCTCGCTCTCCAGACATAAGGCTCTTACCACTAAATATGTGGTGGGGCCAATGCTGTGGCTCAGTGGGTTAAAGCTGAAGCTTGCGGTGCCAGCATCCCATATGAGTGCTGGCTGTTGTAGGCATTTGGGAGTGAAGATATCTGTGTCTATCTCTGCATCTCTCTACCTTTCAAAAATATTTTTTAAAAAAATAGATTTTAAAAAACTAAAGATTTTTTTAAAACTTTATTTTAATAACAATAAAGCCTGAGGTCCGCGCTGTGGCACAGTGGGTTAACACCTTGGCCTGAAGCGCCAGCATCCCATATGGGTGCCAGTTCAAGACCCAGCTACTCCACTTCCGATCCAGCTCTCTGCTATGGCCTGGGATAGAAGTAGAAGATGACCCAAGTCCTTGGGCCCCTGCTCCTGCATGGGAAACCTGGAAGAAGCTCCTGGCTCCTGGCTTCGGATCAGCGCAGCTCCGGCTGTTGCAGCCAATTAGGGAGTGGACCATCAGATGGAAGACCTCTCTCTCTCTGCCACTCTTTTCTCTATGTAACTCTGACTTTCAAACAAATAAATAAATTCTTTTAAAAAAGAACAATAAATCCTTTAACATGAAGGCCAAAATCTTGCCTTCTCCCAGTATTTCTTATGGTTCCACCTGGATTGTATTCACCTGCCTAGACCATCCCCATTTCCATGGCTTCTGACTGGTCTTCTGCACAATGCCCAGACCTATCCCACAGTCCATCTCCCAACCAACACCCAACAGAATGTGTTAGGATCAATCTGCTTTCTCAGAGGCTATTAGATCTCGTATTTCTGCCTAAGATAGTGTTATGATATACAAGAAAACAAAACAAAGTGAGTTTTTCCTGTTCTTTTACCCAACAGTCAACACAGAATACTTTGGTGATTTCTTGTCACCAAAATGTTTGGGCATTTCTCCCTACCAACAATCAATTAATTGTGCAAATTATATAGGAGACACCAAGTTTATGCCTCCAATTCACTTGCTTTTCTGATACTGTCTAGCTAGAGATAGACTCAGGTCTCACAAGACCTCCCCCACTTCAGACTCTAGTCACAAATAATCTTGTTACTTAAACATCTCCCTGACTATAAATTGGGGTTTCCACAACCCCTTCCTGAGGTTTGACTAATTTGCTATAGCAGCTCACAAAATTCAGGAAAACAACTTTACTTACATTTACTGCTTTACTATAGAGGATATTACAGAGGATATGTTAGGTAGGAAGTTAGAAATTAGTCTATTGTGTCAGGAGGCCTAAGGAAAACAAAACACCTGAGGAAAGGAAGGTAGCAGCCTCCAGCAATCTTGGAAGCAACCCAAGACGATACTACACTACAAAGTCCTGCCCATATCCATATAACTTCACAAGTGGTCCCAGCCTTTTCCCCAAGGAAAGAATTTCAGGAGAACCCTCTCTTCTTTTTTTAAAAATTTTTTTATTTATTTTATTTATTATTATTATTATTTTTTGACAGTCAGAGTGGACAGTGAGAGAGAGAGACAGAGAGAAAGGTCTTCCTTTGCCGTTGGTTCACCCTCCAATGGCCGCCGAAGCAGGCGCGCTGCAGCCGGCGCACGGCACTGATCCGATGGCAGGAGCCAGGTACTTCTCCTGGTCTCCCATGGGGTGCAGGGCCCAAGCACTTGGGCCATCCTCCACTGCACTCCCTGGCCACAGCAGAGAGCTGGCCTGGAAGAGGGACAACCAGGACAGAATCCGTTGCCCCGACCGGGACTAGAACCCGGAGTGCCGGCGCCGAAAGGCGGAGGATTAGCCGCCTAGTGAGCCGGGGCGCCGGCTGAGAACCCTCTCTTCTAAGTGGACTACCCAGTCTGATAACACTGGTTAATAAAACCTTGGGAGGAAGTTTACCTATTTCACACTCAGCATACCCTTTTTCCAGGAGAAGAGGGAGGAGAGTAAAAAACTGTGGAAAGAACTAGACCCTTCTCACTTATAAGCCACGGTCTGAATACAGACTGCTTTCAGCACTTTGCTGAGATACCAGCTTGGCCTATCAGGTATATTTCAGCTCTCAGTATCTCCAGAGACACCCCTCTGGTCTTTTAGGTGCATTTCTCTTAGCTCTCAGCTCTTGATTCTTTGTTTAGATGCCTGCACTATCAGTTGTATTCTTTCCATTAAACTATGTAGCTTGCTTAACCCAGTCTAAATGGGTAGGCACTCTTTCAGATTCTGTCTGGAGAAGTGTCCATCTGTTCTGACATATACCCTAGCCCATTAAACATTGCTACTTTGGTTACCATTACTCCTCTATCTCATGCCTGAATTCTTTACTGGGCGAAAACAATAACCTCTGGTCCACCCATTTCTGCTAACAGATACAGGGAAATAGCCAGGTAGAAGAGAAGTGCAGATCAAGGCAGGGAGTTTCTGTGCCCTCACCAGAGCACCAACCTGAAGCAGGAATGAATTGCTGTACCTAGCTGCTTGGGTCCATTGTTTTGTGCTCAATGAAGAATGAAAACACAGAACCAGGGGTTGGCATTGTTGTGCCTGCAATACCAGCATCCCATATTGGCTCCAGATTGAGTCCCAGCTGCTGTACTTCTGAGCCAGCTCTCTGCTTATGTGCCTGGGACAGCAGCATAAGATGGTCCAAGTGCTTGGGCCCCTGCACCCACATGGGAAACTTGGATGAAGCTCCTGGCTCCTGGATTTGGCTTGGCCCAGCTCTGGCTGTTGAGGCTATTTGGGGAGTGAACCAGTGCATGGAAGAGTTCTCTATCTCACCTCATCTTTCTGTAACTCTGACTTTCAAAATAAATAGGTAAATATTAAAGGAAAGAAGGAAGGAAGGAACAAAGAAGGAAGGAAAAAACAGACACAGGGGGGTGAGGGAAAGGTAAAGCACAGTTTTATTGAAGTGAACAGAGACAGCTCTCATAGCTAAGTGTCACAGCAAGAGGCACTTTGTGAAACAGGCCTTATTGAAAGGAACAGAGAGAAGGCTCCTGAGAAGTAGTTGGAAGGGGGATTTTCTTAGCAAGAACAAAAAACTGATGAAAGGAAATGATCTGAGGGGAGTGGGATGATAAGTCTTTTGAAGACATCGGCTAACTGTGCTGAGAGGGACCAAACTCAAGCAAACCTCTGATCTATAAATTCAACTGCTGCATTTTTATAAATACATGTAAATTTCCCGTTGTTATATTTGATCTTGAAATGAAAACAAAAACTTTAAAAAAAGAAAAGAAATGATCTGGGAATTTAAGAAAAGTATTAATCCTGCTATGAGCTCATCCTGACTTCTCATGCCCTATAGCTACTCTTTGGTTAGTCTCTTGTCTTAGGTATGTTATCTTTGGTGTAGCCAAGCCCTTCTATCTTGCTGTGCATCACCTTGGGCTTGTTAGCTTACAATCACAGGCTTTCCTCTCTTAGCCTGTTAATTTAGTCTCAAGGCTTTTATTTTTTAAGTTCCCTATCTGGTTTTGGCAAAGTATATCTCTTAAATGCATGGCTTTGTGTAGTTTAGTAACTAGAGGCAAAGGGCACCCTCCTCACCGTGCAGTCCTAAGTCCAAGTCTAATTCAACCTAGCTTGCTTTCTCCTACCTATATCAAACTCCCAGCAGTGTCCATATGTTCAGTTATCCAGGAGCTCTCAAAATTCACTTTTGGATTTTTACAGAAGTGTCATTACATTGGCATGATTAATTAAATCTATGCCCATGAAAGGGGAAGTGTTGTGGTGCACCTGGTTAAGCTGTCACTTGTGACAAGCTAAACATCAAAGTACTAGTTCAAGTCCCAGTATGAGTTAGAAGGGTCAATAGGTGATTAGGGATGGCCCCTGTGGGAATAGGGAACAAGGTGTTTGTATGAAACTGCCATCTTCTGATTAGACAAAAGACATTACCCCAAGAAAATAAGATTGATAGGTGTAAGGACAAATTTTTAGGATGAAGAGGCTTGTATCTAGGTTTGGCTCTGGTAAACAAATAACTTGTCTGCTGGATGAGCTTCTCCTGCTTCTTGGGAGCCTGGCCAGTTCCCAGGGAAGAGGGTAAAGGAATGTTTCTGATAAACAGGTGGGCATGCTTCGTGTCTCAGCTCTCTGGCCAAGATCCGAGACGGGATGCATTGCTTGCCTAAAATCTTGGCAATGGGCCACCCTTGTCCTTGGGGTCTTTAAGAGGGAGCCAGATCAAGCCTCTGCTGCTGCTGTTCCATCCTGGGGGAACATGCAGTCATGCTGAACGTTGAACGTGCCCGTGACGATTACTGATGATGTTTGGTTCTCAGCATGGATCCTTTACCGGTACTGTGTGAAGATCGCCTAGTGGTAAATTCCTGGGTTGAGTCCCCTACTCTTAGGGACTCTCCCCCCCCCATTCTCTCTCTCTCTCTCTCCCTCTCTCTCTCTCTCCTGCTTCTTAAAATTTGCTACTTAAATAAACTACTTGTTTCTTTATACTACAAGGCTTGCAGAGTATTTCTTGTGGATCGAACTGAAAGTAAATAAGCCTGTGCACAGCAGACAGCTAAAAAATAATTTGCTATCACAATAGGAATGTAATGAGTCCCATACCCACAGGTAACCATATGAGAAACTACTGTCATTTTACTGGAACACACCACAAAGCAGCATGTCTCAAGTGCTTAGCAACTGAAAAGTTTTAATTCTCAAGTCAACAATATTTCTCAATTTTCACATGTCCCAAGTGGTCAACATGGTAACATTTGTTAACTAGTCAGGAACAATGACCACTAGGTGAGAGACATAGAATCGCTTCTTGGCCTTTTGGCTAAGATCAAGTGTGAGAGACATAGAAAAAACAAGGATGACTCATGATGTATTTAAACTATGTAAAATAATTGATCAATTGATATGCACTCCCTATATAAGCTCCCGGTACCCAGACCTTGATGGACAACACCCTGGGAGGAACCCCTCTTGGGTACCAGGAGTCTCTGTTTCTCAATAAAATCTACTTTCACTTGCTTTGCTCACACTCTCTTCCTGTTCATGTCTTAATTCTTCATCACCATAAGAAAAAGAACCAACTCTGAATTCCTATAATAGCTGTCTCACTTCTGATCAGCTTCCTGCTGATGCACCAAGGAAAGCAGATGATAGCTTGGGCACCTGAAACCCATGTGGGATATGTGGAAGGAGTTCCAGGGTCCTGGATTTGGCCTAGACCAGCCCTGGCCATTGTGGACTTTTAAAGAGTGAAACAATGAATTGAAGATGTCTCTTTCAGCCTTTCAAATGAAAAACTAATTTTTTTCAAATGGTCATTGGTTTATCAATTCTACCTTCACTCTCTTTCCTCTCCCAGAAGTTAGGGGTGGGGAAGTAGGATTAAACTTCCAACACTTTAATCACATAGTTGGTTCCCCTGGCAACTAGCCCCCAGTTACAGTTATTTCATTAGAGTACAAAAGATTCACCTTCCTATGTTAAGGTAGACAGGTAGACATTAGTCTGTGTGTGTGTAAGGGAAGCTGAAAGAAATGGTAATTTTGTGTGGATGGATGAAGAAATGTAGAAGCAAGCATTGGGAGCAGACCAGCATTACATATGTAAAGTATTGCTGTTGTTCAATGGCTTTGTTGGGTGAGTCTTTCCTGTAGTTGAATAAGAAATCACATCAAAAATTTGTTTTTAAAGATTTATTTATTTATTTATTTATTTGAAAGCCAGAGTTATAGAGGCAGAAGCAGAGGCAGAGAGAGAGAGAGAGAATTCTTGGGCTGGCACTGTGGCACAGTGGGTTAACGCCCTGGCCTGAAGCACCAGCATCCCACATGGGTGCCGGTTCTAGTCCTGGCTGCTCCTCTTCTGATCCAGCTCTCTACTATGGCCTGGGATAGCAGTAAAAGATGACCCATGTCCTTGGGCCCCTGCACCCAAGTTGGAGCAGCTCAGGCTGTTGCAGCCATCTGGGGAGTGAACCATCAGATGGAAAAACTCCCTCTGTCTCGACCTCTCTCTGTAACTCTGTCTTTCAAATAAATAAAATACTCATTCAATGGTTCATCCCCCAAATGGCTGCAGGGGCTGGAGCTGAGCCAATCCAAAGCTAGGTGCCAAGAGTTTTTCTTTCAGGTCTCCCATCCCACATGGATGCAGAGTCCCAAGGACTTGTGCCATTTTCGATTGCTTTCCCAAGCCATAGCAGAGAGTTGGATTGGAAGTGGGTCTCGTACCAGTGTCCATATGGGATGCCAGCACTGCAAGTGACAGCTTTATCCCCTATGCCACAGCACTGTCCCTGTATCAAAAGTCTTGTCATTGTTCAATAACTTTTTTGGGTGTGTCCCAACCCTCTCCCTGGGGGCAGCTCAGGGAGATCTCATCTGTCCTGCACAAAGGTGGCTGTTAGGTCCATTATAAAGCTCTGAGGAATTTTAGGAATTCCATCCTCAGAAAGCCCTCCACCCAGCAATATCCCAGAAAGGATGGGAGGGAGGGAAAATGGAGGGCCCATATCCAAATCCATAAAAAACTCCAGTGTGAATGCAGACTGGACTCAGTTTTTTTCCTTAGATGCCCACGTGGTCTATTAGGTGTACTCTCTTCATTACTTCTCTTCATTAAACTTGGCTGGAATGCTTGCTGCTACTCTCTGTTTCACAACTGAATTTTCTCTTGTGCAAAGATAAGAACCTCCTAGTAGCCATATCTGGAAACATCTGGAAAAAAACTTATTCGTGGCTTAGGCAGCACTTTTCTTAGGTACTCTAATAATGGCTCTACTCCCAACCTGTATATATTGATGGCCCTCTCCCCCACTTAATGTTGTATGATTTCAGAATTTCTCTACAGACAACCCCTCTACCTGCAAAAGTTAAGCGGCCTTTTTCCCGGTCTTGGTTGGGATCGGCTTTAAACCACATCCATCAAACAGTCCTCACAAGGGTCCAGAGACCCCCCCCATTTCCTCTCCTCTATGAAATTCTCTCATTACCTGGTTAATGCCACTCTTAGGATCATTTGTTGCTATTCTTGTGCTGTCTTTTATGCTACAGTGTCTGTTTAAGTGTTTACAGGTGTTGATAATGGAACGAACCAAGGTCTTCACCAACCCAGTGGTCTACCAAATGCTGCTACAGGGATATACTCAGCTCCCCACCCAGGAGACAGCAGCTTGAGATATTGCCCCATGCTAGCAAAGAGTACCTCGATGCCCCATGTCAGCAGGAAGTAGCTCTAAAGACAGATCATCGTCCCTCTACCCCTCCTGGACTTTTGGGACAAATGTAATTCCATACAACTCCTGTTGGGAATATGGCACAGTTTTATCCATGGCACGATCTACACCCCAACACCATCTTAGGCTCTAGCCCCTGCTGCCATTGCTGGAAGCCTGGTGTCCACATGGCCCAACCAACGTTGTCAAGTTCCACACCCATCCTAATGGGATTTGCTGCTCCTGCTTCCCTGCCCACCCTCTGGTAAAGTTTTAAAAGGAGCTGTTCCTGAACACATGGCTCTCTCGCTGTCTCTCTGCTCTCTTGGCTTCTCTCTTGCTCCCCTCCCTCCTCTCTCTCTCTTTTTCCTCTCTCCTCTCTCCTCTCTCCTCTCCTCTCTCTTCTCTCTCAGCTCCTCTCTGTTCTCTCTCTTCTCTCCTTGCTAGCTCCTCTCCTCTCTTCTCTCTCTCTCTTACACTCTCCTTCTCTCTCTTTTTCCTTCTCCATCCCTTCCCTCCGGTCCCTTTCCCTTACTCCAGTGTTTGGTGTGTTTTGTGATGACCTTACATATTCAACTCCTTAATCTTAAGTCCTTTAGTATGTACTCAGTTCCTTCCTTAATGCCATTTAGTAGGACTTTTGTGGCTCTCCTAAAGACCCTCCTATCCAGTGTATCACCTCTTGGTTTAACTCACTCTTTGCTTTGATTACTACAGTAGCTTCCTAATTCTTGATTCTAGTCCTACTCCTTCAACCCATCCCTCACTCTGATAAAAAATGCCTTCTGGTAAAATAAAATCTTGGTAGGAGAGAGATGAGGTCAGAATCCTATAGAGACTGCTCTGGGTTTAAAAATAATAACCAAATTTCTTATATGTAAATGTCTTCCAGACTACCTTGGATTTTAATTTTTCTCACCTTACCTCTCAAAGCCATCCCTCTGTAGTCAAGCTGATATCTCTGCCTGAAACAACCTTCTTTAAGTACTTTTACCATTCAGCTGTAAAAAAGAGCCCTGAGGGGATTCAACTACATATTGAGGTAAGGACCACTACACTGCTATGAGAGCTCAAACAGTAACTTGCCCTAGACCTGAGGGTCACAGCTGGCTTCCCTGAGGAGGCAACCTGAGCTGACATGCTCAAAGAAGTTTAGATTTAACTACAAGAAGGGGAGTTGGATATGGGAGGAGGAGCCTCCCAGGCAAAAGAACAATGTATGTAAAGGTCCTATGTGGATAGAATTGAGGTGTTGGAAGAGGAAGGGAAGATTAGTGTGGCCACAAAATATAGTGCGGTCTGCCAGAGCCAGTCACACTGATTCCACAGAGTGATAGTAAAAATTTTGGTTATTATCTTAAAGTATATTGAAAAGCCCAGAACTTTAGCGGGCATTCAATAAACCTCTGGTCCTGGCCACACACTTGTCCTTCAGTCCTTCACAGGCACTCACAACAGCCTTCATCTCTGCATTTGAGGAAAAGCTGGACAACCCCTCAAACCCCCCACAGATCTGAACGCTGGCAGGACAGGATGGAGGCCACTCCTCCTAGAGAAGATGTTATGTATCTCTGTCAGGTAAGCCTGAGGAGCTCTTTCCAATCATGAAGGTACTTGGGACCCCTTCCAGAAAAGAAATGGTGACACAGCCTTTATTAAAAGAGCCTCTCCAATTTCTCCTTAGGATTATTATCTTGTGTGGAAAGGAAGTGGTGTCCATAGTCAGACATGGGAGAAAAGGAGCAGTTTAGGGACTTGGAAGGAAAGTGGAGAGAGTGAATTAACATGAGTTACAGTCAGAAAGGGCTCTGTCAACAGGGTGTGGACCACCAATGAGCCTTGCCTACAAAGGCCAGAGGGCCTCCAGTAGGCATCCCCACTTCCTTGAAGCTGGAGTGAGAAGGAAGAGGCAAGAAAGCCTTACCTCACAGGCACAGGTGGACTTCTTGCAAGAGGAACAAAATGGAATGGGTCAGGCTCCCTTTGGTGATGGAGGGTCAACTAACACATCTCCATTGCAGAGATGGGGTCCCTGGCCTGAGCCAGGTATCTATACCTCTCAATTCCAGCTGGTTGCTAAACGTGAAAGGCACTGCTCCTCCCATCCTGTTGCTGCTATAAACAATACCTGAAATGGTTTCTGGATAAGGATGATGCTTCCCTTGGTTCAGAGTTGTCCTTCAGTGACCACTGGGGCCTGCCAGCATCTCTGGTGAAGGCAGGAATGACTAGAAGAAAACTACAGAGGAAAAGCCTAAATATTGCAGGACTTGATAGTCCAGAGAGCCCCCATACAGTCTACTCATCTCTCTACTTCCAGTGGCAACTCCATCTGGGTCCAGATAGACTCCAGGATAAAACCAGCATGCCCTCCCCCCCCCCCAGCCCCATAGGAGGAAGGCATGGCCAGAATCATGTTCTATAGATTGAAGAATAACTTTGGGGAGAAGCTGGTGAAAGGTACCTTCTGAAGTCTCTTTTCCATCTATCAAGGAGGGAAAACATGATGACACTTGGGCAAAAGAGAAGCAGACCCTGAGAACTGGGCACAAGCAGGGAAGAGAGCAGTGCTGGTCCTAGGAACCTCCTATATCTGTCAAGGGAGCTGGCAGTGGCCTCTTCCTTGAGTGTGTGTGATTGACCCAAAAGGTCTTGTTTTAAACCTGAACTCCCAACCCCACCTCAGGAATGCTGCTTCCAAAAGGCTCCCTAGGCAAAGTTCAAGAAACAGAATAGATTAGTTTTCTTCAAAGGGAGAAAAAAAGAATTATATTATCTGAGAGCTGATGTGAACCAAGCATGAATGAACTGTATGTTCTTGAAGGGAGATTAGAAATCCTTTCAGTTTATAGACCTTCAGCCAGGAAATCCCTCCCAGTCTACACTGTGTTGCAAGTGTAGCCATTCACCTCTCTATTTGTGCCAAGTGCTCAGGAAAGCTCTGGTATGACCCTAGTCATTGGCAGGAAACTAATCATGAGGGTAGATGATGGCAGGGATCTTCCATGACCACCACTGGAAATATAAAGCACAAAAAGTTACAAAACACACGGATTGCAGTGTAGTTCAGTATTGGAAAAACAAAAGGACTGCCAATTGGGGGTGCCAAGATGATGTACAAGTCTAGGGCCTTAAGAGGACAGCATCTTGCAGAATCCAATAGAGACTACAGAGGAAAGTAGCAAAGTCTGCAAGGGACCAAGATAACAAATAGTCTCTAGGTGGAGATCCTGGCTTTTTCCACACACCTGGGCAGCCACTTCCCATTGCCTGTCTACCTTCCAACAAGACTTCCAGGTAGCAATGTCAAGTTCTTTTGCCAAACCTGTGAGAGTGTATGTCTACTATCCTCCAATACCCCAACTAAGGATCCTTGAACTTTTTTTTTTTTTTTGGTAAAGATTTATTTATCTATTTATTTAAAAGGTGGAGTTGTAGAGGCAGAGAAAGAGAGAGAGAGAGAGAGGTCTTCCATTCACTGATTGACTCCCCCAAGATGGCCACAACAGCTGGAGCTTGGCCTATCCAAAGCCAGGAGCCTAGAGCTTCTTCCAGGTCTCCCAAGTGGGTGCAGCCATCCTCTACTGCTTTTCCTAGGCCATAGCAGAGCTGGATCAGAAGTGGAGCAGCCAGGACTTGAACTGGAGCCCATATGGGATTCCAGCACTGCAGGCGGCGGCCTTACACACTATGCCACAGGACCAGCCCCAGGACTTTTATTAAAAAAAAAAAAATTTATTTGAAAGAGTTAGAGAGAGGTCTTCCATCTGCTGGTTCATTCTCCAAATGGCTGCAATGGCTGGAGCTAAGCTGATTCAAGCTAGGAGCCAGGAGCTTCTTCTGGGTCTTCCTCATGTGTGCAGGGGCCCAAGCAAATGGGCTATCTTCCACTGTTTCCCAGGCCAATAACACGGAGCTGGATCAGAAGTGGAGCAGCCATGGCTGGCGCTATGGCATAGCAAGTAAAGCCACCACCTGCAGTGCCAGCAACCCATATGGGTGCCAATTCAAGTTCCAGTTGCTCCACTTCTGATCCAGCTCTCTGCTATGGCCTGGGAAAGTAGTGGGAGATGGCCCAACTCCTTGGGCTCCTGCACCCACGTGGGGGACCTTGAAAGAAGCTCCTGGTTTCAGATTGGCATGCCATTGCAGCCAATTGGGGAGTGAACCAGCAGATGGAAGACTTCTCTCTCTCTCTCTGCGTAACTCTGACTTTCAAATAAATAAACAAATCTAAAAAAAAAAAAAAAAGTGGAGCACCCAGGACTTGAACTGGTGCCCATATGGGATGCTGGTGCTACAGGTCAGGTCTTTAACCTGCTTTGCCACAGACCCACCACCACCCTGCCCCAGGACCTTTGAACACTTCTCCCCTACTGAAATATTCTCCCATATAACTTCCCTCCAACTGGAATATATTATTTTTCCATATACCTATAGCACTCTCTCCCATATCTCAGTGTCTTTATTCTGATCTTTCCTCTTAACCTACCTATCCCCTGCCATAGGTTGTAAACTGCAAAAGTAAAAACAGTCCCTGTGAGTTTTGCTGACAGCTATTTCCCCAAAACTTAAACCAGCAACTGGTATCCAACACATGCTCACTATACTCTAGCATTTACCCTGTCAGTTATTGTTCCAAACAGTTTACCCATTTGCCCCTTTATACTCTACTCCACTATGTAATGTAGGTATTAATATTATTTCTAGTCTCATTTCATGGCACTGTGACATAGGTAATAAAGCTGTCACCTGCAGGGCCAGCATCCCATATAAGCACTGGTTCTAGTTCTAGCTGCTCCACTTCTGATCCAGTCCTCTGCTGTGACCTGGGAAAACAGTGGAAGATGGGCCAAGTCCTTGGGCCCCTGCACCCATATGGGAGACCTGGAAGAAGTTCCTGGCTCCCGACTTTGGATTAGCCATCTTCCACTGCTTTCCCAGGCCACAGCAGAGAGCTGGATTGGCATTGCAACAGCTGGAACTCTAACCAATGCCCATATGGGATGCTAGCACTACAGCCAGCAGCTTTACCTGGTAATGCCACAGATCCAGCTGGCCCCTAAATAAATAAATCTTTCAAAAATATCTATATATAGATAGACTGTTTTACAGTCAGGGATTTGTGAGACTGCTAAGCAATACTTATTTATCTGTGGTTGATCAGAGAACTGGCAAACAGTTAGGTATTTAGTATTGGTCCACTCCTTCCCTATCAGGGGTCATTTCCTTCAGGGGACACCTGGACTCCTGGACCCTGGGTTTTTCTGTGGAATGACCAGGCCCACAGGAGAGCTTCCAACCACAGTCCCCAGACAGTAGAACCTAGAGTTTCTTCTCGAGGCCTTTCGGCGTGAGCTCTAGTGTTTTCTTTGGGAGCAAGGTGGCAGTGTTCTTTCTCCTACATTAATCCTGCAAGAACTTTCCAACACGGAGGGCCTTAACCAACACCATCAGAGACAGCATAAACTTCCCGCATGAAAACCCTTGGCGCTTGGAAATTTGTTAGTTCTGGTAGTTCATTTGAGCAGTTGTTTTTTTCTTTTTTTTCCACATTAAAATCATAATTCAAGGGGCTCATCCTACAGTAGTAGCTCCCAGTCATCCTGGTCTCTTGATATGGAACTTACAGCTCCGGAAATATGAGAACACAAATTTTGATGAAACAAAACAAAACAAAAAAAGAACTTAAACTCCTTCCGCGTTGCCAAGTCACCAGACGGAAAGGGTGGTGCTTGCTCCATGCCATCAGTAGGCGGAGATACCCTTAGGCGAGCCTTGTGTGGGACGTGCCGTACAGTTAACTCTTGTGTCATTTCACGCTCTAATGATTATCTGCAGAGCCTTTTTAAACATCTCCTAGTCTCTGTTTCAGAAAGTATTTGTACGGAGCAGCTATATTGTGGTACGTGGCAGAGGGGGCCACAGAAGCAAGTTCATCTCGCCGGTCGCGCTACGTGGCGCCGCCATCTTGAGCAGAGAGGAATCATGAGCGCCGCCCTCTTGAACAGAGGTGAATTATGGGCCACGCCATCTTGCGCGAATGTGAGGATATTTCCGCTTCCGGCAAGGGGCTGTTCTCTCTTTTCCTCGGCAGGGCCGCGGCGGGAGTGGCAGCGCTGCTGGGCTCTCTGTGCTATCCGGTGCCATCCTCGTCGCTGCGGCGACACTCGCACCCGCTGCCGCCATGACTGAGCAGATGACCCTTCGTGGCACCCTCAAGGGCCACAATGGCTGGGTTACCCAAATCGCTACCACCCCGCAGTTCCCGGACATGATACTGTCCGCCTCTCGAGGTTAGTACCCGGTTGTGTGTGTCGCGGGGTTAGACTGGGAACGTGTTATATGACGGATCATAGATCCCTCTGCGTGTTGGGGAGTGCGGACCCGAGTCTCTGTCTCATCCCGGGGGGCCCACGTTGCAGATAAGACCTGGAGGTGTTGTCAGCTCGTGGCTGCCAGATTTGTTGGAGGTTGGCTGGCAGCTAAAGCTGAATGTGCCCAGGAGCCTACAAGGCCGGGCGGGGCGGTGATGAGCCCAACATGCCATCTGAGTATCCATGCAGAAATCCAGAGGCTGTTTCTGAGCTGCCGCCCGGCTCTTAGTTCGCTGGGTAGTGGGTGGACTGCAGGGAACCTTGTGGCTCAGATTTCCGATCTACATTTTCTTTCTGCGAATATCCACCCCATTTTCTCTCCATGTAGACCTTATCGAGTTTGGAGGCGTGTTCTTAACAGCTTAAAAATCGTCGAAAGTTAGGAATAATAATTAGAAATGGTCAGGAGCCCTCAGATACAATGGTACTTGTATCGGTTTGTAGGAGGAGAAATTTTAAGAGGGGGGCGCTAAAATGACTTAGTTAATTTTTCCACAGCTTTCTCAAGCATTCTGGCAAGATACAAAATATATGTTGAATTAGTTTGAATCTCAAGAAGGGGTAACCGTATTCTCTGACACCTGGGTTAGATTTTCGTGCTACAGTTTAGGCCCACCTGCCTGTTTTTTGGAACTGTTGGCCACTGGGCCCTGGCAAATAACCTACAGTTTGTTTCCTCTCGAAGTGTCTTTTTAAGTGTTAACCTACATATGATTTTGTAACATCTTAAATTTTCAATAGGGTCAGCAAGTGGGCTGCAAAGTTCCTCACCAGTTTCCCTTTTGTCTTTCTTTAGACAAGACCATCATCATGTGGAAGCTGACTAGGGATGAGACCAACTATGGCATCCCGCAGCGAGCTCTTCGGGGTCACTCCCACTTCGTTAGTGATGTGGTCATATCTTCAGATGGCCAGTTTGCCCTCTCAGGGTCCTGGGACGGAACCCTTCGCCTCTGGGATCTCACAACGCAAGTAGCTGCTCACCTAGCTGTGGGATCTTGGGGAAAAGCTGGGAAGAAATGAGGTAGATGGCAATTGGGAGGTTATCTTCCAGGAGAAAGTTGAAGTATAAAGTAAAAACTACCTACAGAAGATAGTTATTCGGGCCCCCTCTTAATTTTTTTTTTTCTAAGATTTATTTATTTGAGAGAGTTAGAGACAGTGAGAGGGAGGGACAAAGAAAGGTCTTTCTTCCATTGGTTCAACCCCCAAATGGCTGCAGTGGTCAGAGCTGCGCCTGTCCAAAGCCAGGAGCTTCTTCCTGGTCTCCCATGTGGGTGCAGGGGTCCAAGCACTTGGACCATCTTCTGTGGCTTTCCCTGGCCACAGCAAAGAGCTGGATTGCAAGAGGATACCCTGGGACTAGAACCAGTGCCCACATGGGATGCTGGCAGTGTGTCACAGCACTGGCCCCTCAGGGGGCCCTTTGATTTAATTATGGTTGCTGAGAAGTAGTCTGGTTGAATTTTTGAGAAAGGTGTTCCTTTTTCCATTGGTCACCCCCCAAGTGGCCACTGCAGCTGGTGCACTGTGCCAATTGGAAGCCAGGAGCCAGGTGCTTCCTTCTGGTCTCCCATGGGGGTGCAGGGCCCAAGGACCTGGGCCATCCTCCACTGCCTTCCCGGGCCACAGCAGAGAGCTGGACTGGAAGAGGAGCAACCAGGACAGAATGCAGCGCCCCAACCGCGACTAGAACCCGTGGCGCCAGCCTGGTTGAATGTTTTTATAGGTGTAGCAATTTGGAGTAGACAGCGGTTGGAACAAGTTTTATCTTGAATTTCTGTTCTAGATAAGCAGTTGGCAAGTATAATGGAGGATCCTGGTGATGACAGATGACATTGTCAGCCAATCCCCATGTGGGAGTGAGGACATGTCCTGCAATTCTGAAGGGATTCTCTGACATAAACTCGGAAAAGACTTGTTAGTGATGCAGTCCACCGGGATGGGGCGAATGCCAGAAAAATGTTGGTAAAGTTTGTCTAGAGTGACAGAGCTGTCTTTCTCAGGGGCACCACCACAAGACGATTTGTAGGCCATACCAAGGATGTACTGAGTGTTGCCTTCTCCTCTGATAACCGTCAGATTGTCTCTGGATCTCGAGATAAAACCATCAAGTTATGGAATACTCTGGGTGTATGCAAATACACTGTCCAGGTAAAGTGAAGGCAGCAAACACATGTTCAAGGTTCCCATGCACCCTTTCTTTTAACCTTTGCCTTATGTGTTGACTAAAGAGATTCTGTTCTTCATGGTTCAGTTAGGAGATGTGAACACAGTACTGCCAATATCCATTCCACCGAGATCAGGGATGGAGTTCTATAGTTTAAGATAGAAATGTTTTCTCTTACTTCCTTTCCATTCTCTGCAGGATGAGAGCCATTCAGAGTGGGTATCTTGTGTCCGCTTCTCGCCCAACAGCAGCAATCCTATCATTGTCTCCTGTGGCTGGGACAAGCTAGTCAAGGTGAGTTTTGAGCTGGCATAGAGGGCTTGTACAAGCCAGAACCCCTTAGGCATTGTGGATTCCTTCAATTGACTTTTCCTCTTGTTGGATTTACTCAGTACAGACCATTGGTTTTTGACAGTTGGTCTTAAATAGCTAATTGATATCCCTTAAAAGCTTTTAAACAAGGTGCCAAGCCTTTTGCTGGGCTTGACTCTTCTCAGTCCTGGCTGATACGAGCTAAATTGTTCACCTGTAACCCCACCCATTTACACAGGTATGGAATCTGGCTAACTGCAAGCTGAAGACTAACCATATTGGCCACACTGGCTATCTGAACACTGTGACAGTGTCTCCAGATGGATCCCTTTGTGCTTCTGGAGGCAAGGTATTTGGGGGCCAGGAGTCTCAACCAGGGGGACAGTCTCATAGAAAGAATACCTTGGGGCCGGCGCCGTGGCTCAGTAAGCTAATCCTCCGCCTTGTGGCCCCGGTCGGGGCTCGGGATTCTGTCCCAGTTGCCTCTTCCAGGCCAGCTCTCTGCTCTGGCCCGGGAGTGCAGTGGAGGATGGCCCAAGTGCTTGGGCCCTGCACCCCATGGGAGACCAGGAGAAGCACCTGGCTCCTGGCTTCAGATCAGCGCCATGCACTGGCCATTGGAGGGTGAACCAACGGCAAAAGGAAGACCTTTCTGTCTGTTTCTCTCTCTCTCACTGTCCACTCTGCCTGTCAAAAAAAAAAAAAAAAAAGAATACCTTGGGTCTTCGACATAAACTATAAACTAAGTATTAGCCAGGTTATTCAAGAGTATGTTTCCAAAGGTCACTTACTGAAAATTACATGGGTGAGACATACTGTTCAAAGGAAAAAAAAAAATGTTTTCTCTGTAAAGTTTCTTGAAGCAATTGATGGATCCTGTTTGGAACTGATCATAGTGATTTTTTTGATAACCCATCAGAAAGTTTATGGGGCTATTGATGTCCTCTGTTAAAGGAAAAGCCTGTAGATATAAATATTGGTAGAGTCAGTAGCTTTCAAGAAAGCCAGGGTACTGAAGGATCTGATGGGCAAGAGAGTTTTGTGGCACGGCCCATTAAGCTGCTGCTTTGAGATGCCCACATCTCATATTGGAGTACCTAGTTCAAGTCTCAGCTACCTTCTGAGACACATCCTGGGAGGCAGCAGATAATGGTTCAAGTAGTTACATCCCTGCCATCCATGTGGGAGCCCTGTCATGTTCCTGGCCTTTGGCCTGACCTAGCTACAATTGTTAGTAGTATTTGGGGAGTGAACCAGCAAATAGAAGATCTATCTATTCTCCTCTCCATCATTCTGCCTTTCAGATGACTAAAATCTTTAAAAGCACATTGATGACAAAATCCTGAGGTGGGTGGGATTGACATCTGGGAGAGGTTACATTGTGCTGCTGACTCACCTTCCCTATCTGCAGGACGGGCAGGCCATGCTATGGGATCTCAATGAAGGCAAACACCTTTATACTTTGGATGGAGGAGACATCATCAATGCTCTGTGCTTTAGCCCCAACCGCTACTGGCTCTGTGCTGCCACAGGCCCTAGCATCAAGATCTGGGTAAGCATGAGATCGAATCCTGGCAATGTGACTTAACATGCCATATGGGTTTGATGCTGGGAGTCCCACATACTAAACAAATGCTAACCATCAAGCTGTTGGTGGAGACCTAGAAAAGTTCCCTGGATTGGGATTATTAATGGAGGGGAATATTTGCTTACTGAAAGGGGTGATTATGTATGGCAGAATACGCAGCCTCTGCATAATGGCTTTTTGGTCTGTGTAATTGTGTAGTGGGTCTGTTTAGTGTTAGCATCCCTGACATCTATCCACAAGATGTTGGTAACAGGCCATGTAACCTCTTCCATACCTAGTAGTTGCAACTGAAAATGCTTGTAGGCAATGCCACATGTCCCCTTGGGCAAAATCATCCTGTTGAGACTCTATTTATAAAAAGGGGCTTTTGAGAGGGGACCTCTGTTACTGAGTTTCTTAAAAAGTATCACTGGTATAAATGTATTAACAGTATCCTCACCCTGGTTTTGACCTATTTCTCAGGACTTAGAAGGCAAGATCATTGTAGATGAACTGAAGCAAGAAGTTATTAGTACCAGCAGCAAGGCAGAGCCACCCCAGTGTACATCTTTGGCCTGGTCTGCTGATGGCCAGGTAAGTCTGACTTCTCACTTAACTCACCTTCCAACATTTCTTCTCTATACTGCTATTTTTGACATAAAGGAAAGTGATTTTTTTAAAATGGCTTGGATGATCAAGAAAGAAATGTGGAATGCATGTTCCTTTCAACTGTGATGTGGAGGTAGTGATTAGCCTTCATTTTTATGCACTGATACTAATTTGATCAGTTTTAAGATGATTGTATTCTTATCAACAGCTGTTTCTTCCTCTAAGAATAACAGCCACCAGCTACAGTCTGGTCATTAGAATTAAGGTCCTTTAAAGAAAAGCCCTCTTTGTTGCAGTGGGACGAAGTTCACAACTCATCCTGTCATTTCTCCCTTGCAGACCCTGTTTGCTGGCTACACAGACAACCTGGTGCGAGTGTGGCAGGTGACCATCGGCACCCGCTAAGCATTTTTGGCATGACTATGACAATAAATTGACTTTGACTTATGTAGCAATTGTGTTTTTCTGAGAAACAGAAATGTTCCATGTTAGATTGGTTTGTCATTTCTCCAAAAGGTTTTTAAAAAATTTGAAAGGCAGAGTTAGAGAACAAGGTCTTGCATTCCACTAGTTCACTCTCCAGTAACCAGGTCCCAGGGGCTTTATCCAGGTTTCCCACGTGGGTGCAGGGCCTCAAGGAATTTGGTCGTCTGCTGCTGCTTTCTCAGGCACATTAGTGATGTGCTGGATCGGAAATGGAGCATACAGGACACAAGCTGGTGACTCCAATCTGGACTCTTCAAGATTTCTTTGAAAGGTAGACAGGGATACCTCCTATTTGGTGTGGGTGGCAAAATCAGTACTTAAGCCATCATCAGTTGCTTTCTCAGGTGAACCGCCAGGCAGAGTGGTGGGGCCGGCGCTGTGGCACAGCGGGTTAATGCCCTTGCCTGAAGCACTGGCATCTCATGGACACCAGTTCTAGTCCTGGCTGCTGCTCTTCCAATCCAGCTCTCTGCTATGGCCTGAGATAGTAATGGAAGATGGCCCAAGTCTTTGGGCCCCTGCACCCACGTGGGAGACAGGAAGAAGTTTATGGCTCCTGGTTTTGGATCTGCGCAGCTCCAGCTGCTGCAGCCATCTGGGGAGTGAACCAGTGGATGGAAGACCTCTCTGTCTCTACCTTTCTCTGTAACTCTTTAAATAAATGAAATAATTCTTAAGAAAAAAAGAACTGGAGTGGCACATGAACCAGCATTTTAATAAGGGGTGCTGGCATTACTTTTTCTGTAAAGATTATTTGACTTAGCAGGTGGAAGAAAACCACTTCTGAGTGTCTGCTCATTTGAAGGAATAAGACTCCACAAAAGAAGCAAATAAACATTTTATTTCTGCAACACAAACAACCTTCCCTTTCCCCAAGAACATGAATTGACCTCAGCCTTCCAAGCAGAGGACAAAAGCTGATAAGTGACAGAAGGCAAGGTGTTATTAGAAAAATAGATTATACCCAAGGCTCTCCTCCCAGGGATTTGAACCCCTTGTCCCCATCCCTGGCTCCATGTTAGGGCTTGCCAAAAAGGGAACTAAAAGGCAGAGAGAAGTTGGAAACTAACAGATGCAATTCCAGTGAACAAAGGGGAAAGTCTGGCAGTAAGTAGACCTGGAAGGGCAGGATGGTCCTAGATTCGAGTGCTAAAAAAGGAAGAGGGAGAAAATAACTTACTGGGTTATAAAATGGTATGTAGTTTCAATTGTATCAACCATTCCAGATCTGTCGCCAAAGCTAAGTTCTGGTTGGTTTGTGGAGGTAGAAAATGGGGATGGAAGGAAAATAGAATCCCTCCAACTTCCCCAGGAGAGTGGGTATTTCTATACCCAGCTCTACCCTTTTGCCCAGCCTGCCTCCCCAAAACAGCTTCCAAATCCTTTAGCTAAACTTTGCACCAGAAAATGGGAGTTCAATGGGGATGCTGCAAGTCTTGCCCAAGCCCTCCAGCCTCAGGACTAACATGAGGTTGAAGAGGGGGTTGGGGGAAAGGAATTTTTAGGAATGAAATTAAGATCTCTCATCCCCTACTTGAACTCAGACCCCAGAGCTGGACTGAACAACACAGAGAGGAAAGACCAAACAGCTGATCTCATTATGAGGAACCCATGCAGACCTGTTGGACAGACACAGTAGGTGAAAAGGCTGAATTGGAGGCCAGGAGGGTTCCTTTAAGGCTCCTAGAAGAAGCAGGGGTCTGGAGTCAAGGGGGAGCCAGAAGAAATGCAGTAACATAGTGGGAGGAGCCTTTGAGCCTCCAAACTTATGGGCCACCCTCCACCACCACCCGCCTCCCCAGTGCTAACCAGAGGGGCCCCTGCGGGTGGCAGGCTGATCAAGGGCAGAGCTTGATACGGGTGCCCTTGGAAAGCACCCGGAAGAAAGGGAAGACACGCTCGCCTAGGAAGGCAGCTGAGAAGGTGTGCACATGGGCTAAAGTCTCCGCATTGTAGAAGCCCAGACGCCCAGCCTCATAGTCCAGGTACACGCCAAAGCGCCGTGGTTTCTCACTTGGGCTCAGCAGTGTCTGCTCTGTTGAGCTTTGTGCCTGGTAACGTTTGCCATTGGTGCCCACACACCACACTTCCCGCTGAAGCAGGGGCTGCTGGGGCAGGTGAAGCCGTCGGCGGCGATGATGATGACGTGAGGAGCTGGCATCCCCAGTGCTCACAGAGGACCCCCCAGAGCCCACCTTTTCCTTATGATGGGTTGATTCACGGGCAGCACCCACTGCCCAACCCCTCCGACCGCCCACCTCTACCTCCCAGTAGTGCCGGCCAGAGCGGAAGCCCTGGGCCCCCAGTACACAGCAGTCAGCTGAGAAGCGCTTGGGATGGTCAACAACCTCCTGCCGCCTTTCTGCCAGGCGGACACCACGGCGATCAGGGGACAACATCAAGGCCGGATGAGCTGTGTCAGGGTCCAGTGTCAGGTCCACTTGGGAGGGGAGAGGACAAATATATTCAAGCTAGAACAACTGTTCCCCAACAGTAGCCAACTCCATAGGCTCAGCCTTCCCTGCTGCTCCCCTACTGCCCCCACCTCTTCTTTTCAGTTCCCTAAACTCAGGGAACTTCAGTTCCCTAGAGGCTAGGCTCCGGTTCCCTGGGTCCACTTCTTTCCTTACTCTTGTCCCCAGGATACCTGACAGGTGTTCCCTTCTGCCTAGCTCTCACCACCCTATCGGACCTCAAAACATACCTGGGCTAGAACAGAAACTACTATTGGCTTAAAAGCTCACAGGACCTACTTGCATCCTCCATCTCAGACCCCCATACTTCCCCTGCAGCCCAATATCCCTCAGAACCCAGAAATGAAAGGCAAAGTGACATTCTTACCTCTTGCAGCCTGACAGAACATTCGGCTCATTTTCCTCACAATGGCATCTGTCAGGAAATCATGGCTATGGGGTTGGCACAGATCAGGGGACCAGATCTCTGGTGGTTGCAGCTGTACCTCTTCACACCTGGAGGAAGGGGACCGGGCAGGGGGTGGGACCATGATATTCCAAGAGGGAAGAGCAGAAGTGAGGGAAAGGAGACAGTGGGCCAGGCGGTAGAAACTCAGGTCATTGGGAAGGAAGGAGAGAGCCACCCCAAAGAGGCAATGATGGGGACTGGATGGTACTGGGTCACAAAGGGTACCGGGTGGGAACACACCTACTGAAAGTCTCCTTGATGTCCTGGGAATAAAAGAAACAAAAAAAGGGAGAGGGAGAAAAAAGACAAAGAGAATGTCAGCTGCACAGAGATCGCTCCTTTTTCCCAGTCTTCAGCTAGAAACAACCTAACTTGAACAACGGAGAAGCAGCACCCTTAAAGCCCTAAATAAACATGTTTCAACTCAGCCACCACCATTCCTCACCATACCCAAACCTCACCCATCCTGCTATAAGCCTACTAATAAACAGAATTTATAATATGTCTTGGTCACCTTTTTCAGGATGTCACTGTCAAAAGTTCATTCCTGAGCTCTCATTACATTCCTCCTAACAAATTTTACTTTTTTTTCAATGGCTATAATCGTGTAATAGTCACAGATACCTCATTCAACATTAGTTCTGCCTCCAGTCTCAAGACTGTTTTGGTCTTCAGGTTGAAACACTGTGGTATACTCCCAGTGAGAAAACAGGCAGCTCTGGACAATATTTGGTAAGCACTATCTGACAGGGCAAATAGGGTGCTTGGGAAACTGGGAGTAGAGAAGGGAAATGCTGCTCACCTGAAGCAGCCGTAGACCACCCTGCTGACTCCGTTCCTGAGCCTCAGCCAGCAAACGGCTCAGCTGGGTGGCCTGCTCTGAGAGGCGGCTGGCTGCAGCTCCCGCACGCCCCAACTGGGCTTCATGCATCTCTCGGAGGCGCCGCTCCAGCCCTGCCTGCTCTTCAGCCAGAAACCGTGTCAACCGCCCAAACTCTGAAGCCACAGCTGCAAGCTCTAACTTCATCTGGCTCTGGAACAGTGCAAAGGGAGGGGTGGGTATCAATTCAACATAAAGAGAAACGTTGAGTTATGGGATGGGTGACCAGCACAGCAGTTAAGTCGCCATTTGGGATAATCGCATCCCATATCAGAGTGCCTGGTTTGAGTCCACTTTAGATCCAGCTTTATACTAACTTGTGCCCTGGGAAGATGGCTCAGGTATTTGGGTCCCTGCCATCTACAGGAAAGAACCAGACTGAGTTCTGGTCTCCCAGCTTCTGCATTGCCTTAACTCTGATCATGCAGGTATTTGGGGCATGAACAAGCAGACAGAAGATCATTCTGTCTCTCTGCCATTCAAATTCAAAAATAAAAAGATATGGTAGTAAAAAGAGGCCCCTGTCTCCCCCTCCACCCCTTAGCCTTACCATGTACCACCCCCACACTTTTGGCATCCTCATTCTATACTCACCAACCTCTGCTTGGAATACTTATCTCTACACTGTGTACCTAATATGACTCATCCTTGAAGTCTAAGCTTACATATTTTGAAAGAAGCTTTCTATTATTCAGATCTCAATCAAGACTACTTCCATAAATACCATAACTTCTTCGTGGTATATACAATATTTGAAATGCTATGTTTACAATGAAGTATCTTTTTATATTCTTTTCCCCAATATACCCTAAGCCCCTAGAGGGAGGGACTGGGTTTGTCTTTGCCATTGCTTCCTCAGACCTTGGCAGAGTCCTGACCACAGAGAAGGCACTTGGGTGGGAATATCTGAAGCCCCATGGGGCTCCATTTTGAATCTTACTACAGGGAACTGATTTGAGGACTCTCCTTGGAAAATAAAATTTCACTTATATTAGTACTTGCATATAACCCACACATATTTTCCTACATATTTTAAATCATCTGTAGATTATTTCCAATTACCAATACAATGCAGATTTTATGTAAACAGATACTGTATTGTTAGAGAATAATGGCAGAGAAAACAAAGTCTGTGCAGCCACACTTTTTTTTCCCCTACATAT